ACACCTGCCGCAACTTGCACGGGGTGACCTCCTCATCGGCGAGCTGGTTGAGGAGAGAGCGGACATGTCGTTCCTGCCATGGAATCACGGTGAAGCCTCTCTTGCGGAGACTCTCGTAGACCAGGCAATGTTGCCTGAGCGTCCGGAACCTGCTGTCCCCCAAGAGGTCCAATGCCTCCTTGCGGAAGTCCTCCCCCAGGATGTCCTGCATGTATGCGATGTGCTCCGCAAAGGGGGCGAAGTGGGCAAGGAGCCGTTCCGCCCATTTTCCGCGCATATGGAGTTCCAGCGCTCGCTGGGTCGTGGGCTCCATTTCCCTGATCTTCCCGGGCCGCCAGTGCCTCCACTTCAGAAGCTCCGGCTGTTGGAGTGGGGGTGGGTCATCTCGCGAGAACCACCTCAGTTGGTCCTGGCGGTCCCATTCATTCTCCAGCGGGGAAAAGTTCTCGCTCGGCTTGCCATCCGCCGACGCCATGAGGAGGAACCATAGGCTATCCCAAAGGTCGGCCAGGTCCGCCGCGGACAGAGGCTGGGGAAGCCTGCCCGCCGCCGACGCCACCAGGCCGTTGAAGTAGTCCTTGGCCTACCGGAATGCCCGAGAGTTCCAGGAGCTGGGCGAAGCGGATAGCCGGCTCGTCGCTGTTCAGCTGCCTCCCCTCCTCCGCCGTGCCATGGCGCAGGCACATCAGGACCAACAGCTCCCCGTCCGTCTGTCTCGGGGAGAAGGACTCATCCGCCAACGTGTCCCACAGGACCCTTGGAATGCGGTCCCAAAGACGAGTGTAAGGCGGGCGCAAAAGAAACTTTGTAGAGACCCTAGCCATGGTGAAAACGGGGGTTCGAGCCTCCGATCGAACGGCCGGGACCCAACCGCGGCACACTCCATGCATGTTCCAACCACGCAGGATGCCGAGTGCAAATGGGGCAGGCAGGCCACATGCAGCCCAACAGGACCAAAAGTCAACCCCCGGAAATCCCCAAAAAACACGGAGGGGGGAAGACCAACCCGACGGGGGATTCCCCAAAACCCGCAAGGGGACCTCAGGGAACCCAGAGTCAGCCGCAGCCACTTTCTCCAAACTGTGGCCGATATGGCCCGTCCTTGGGGCAGCCAATGCGTAGCCTCCAGATCGAGGCAAACCGGCTGTCGTGACGTGTTGAACAGGGGGGAAACCATGGTCAAAGTTGAACCCCAAAAGGAGACACCCTTACTCCTCCCCCCACCCGAGACGGGGCCAGAGGCACCCAAGTCCCGGCGGGAAGAGATCACACGACTCCACATCCAAAAGGGTTGTGAGACACGACCTAGCGGCTCTCACCCTTCAAGATCGCCTCCTTTGCCACCGAGTGGATGGCCGCCAGCCCTGACTTCTCCGGGTTGCTCAAAATGACCGACCACAAGGCAGTGGAGACATCCCCCAGGCCATTCGAGGAGCTGAAGCGCATGCGCGGGGTGCTCGCGTCGCCCAGGACTAGCCGCTCGTCCCTGGGAGGCTCCGTCGGCTCCACCCTCTTGTAGAACTCCATCCTGTCCCGGATCCACTGATTATATAGCTGCTCCGGGGGCTCGTCCATCACCAGCTGCAAGCATGTGGCCTTGTCTTTGTGCCACCCCGTGATCTGGAGCAGCCTGGTCCCCCCGCGGCTCGCCCTCCAGAAGCCCTTGCAAAACCTGCACATGTAGCCCCCGGTGGTCTTGAACTTCTCCTTGCCCACCACTTCCCAGGCGCTGATGCTGGGCAAGACCAGGCCGCACTCCACGGAGGCCCAAAACACGTGCTTGCGCGACCGCCGTGACCGTGGACGTGGTGATGGGCGTGGTCCGGTGTGCGGAGCGTGGTGTCCGCCCCCCCCGGGGTCCGATTCCTTGGCCGCTCCTCCCCCGGGGCCAGAGGCACCTCAAGGGGGGGGAGCAACCCAGCTGCCGGATGAGGTCCTGGGAGTACGCCTCCTGCGGGACCTGCTCGACCCAGTTGTGGACCACGTTGCAACGCCAGTTGACCTTCACCTCCAGCATGGAGGACTTGCTCAGGCCCGACACCAACTTGGTGTAGACCGAGTCGAAAGCCCTCAGCGATGACAGCGGAAGGGTGATTCGCTCGTCGCAGACCGCCCTGAAACGCAGCGCCTCCTTGCTGTCGTGGACGGGGGCCACTGGGATCTCCATCACCGGCAACGGGCAGTTAACGATGAAATTCTTGGCCGCCAGAAACGTCCCCATCTCCTTGAAGATGTAGCTCCATTCCGCCTTGCTGCGCGGCTTGGGGATGCCCAGGCTCTCCAGGAAGGGCACCGCCTCCTTCCTCATCTGGAGGATGTTGCCCATCCACTTGTCCGAGGTCGAGCCCTCCGCATTGCGGCCCCGGCGCTGCGTCTTCACGATCAGCGGGAAAGTGGTCCAGGCCGAGTAGATGTACTTGAAAGTGAAATTGTGGGCGTACAACTTTGTCAGGCTCGGCAGGTCCCACGTTCTCGTCTGCCTGGTCCAAAACACCCCATCACCTTTTGCCCAGAAGATCCCCACCACCTGCTCCGGCGCCGGGCGCTCTCGCCCCGGATCTCCAAGGCCGTGTAGATGACTGGGTCGATGTGGTCCTGCTCGCACGTGAGTGGGTGAGTCCTGCGCTCCAGGGCCAGGAGCTCCTCCGGCGTGAGCTTGAATTGCTGGTCCGCGCCCTTGACGATCTCACCGCTTGAGTGCTTCTTCCAGATCCCCCCAAACATCCGTAGCTCCCCCTGGTGCCTCTTCATCGCCCAGAGGAGCAGGGACAGCTTGCCCTCCTCCGAGTCCAGGTCCTGCTGTGACATTGGCTGGTTCTCCCCGGGGGCACACTTGGGGGGGCCGGTGTCGCCAGATCGGGCATCTCCTCCAGCAGCGCCTCCTGGTGCCATGGGTTCTGCGACTCTCTGAGCCTCCTGATGTAAGGGACATACTTCTCCTTGATGTCTCCCACGTTGGGGATGTCCTCGCATTCATCCAGCTCCAGGGGGCAGAATAGCCCCCTCTCCAGTGCCTGCCTGAGATCATCTGGCCACGCCAACACTTCCAAGGGCTTGAGAGTGTGGTTAAGCATCCATGCCTGGTTGGTGTCCTGGGTGCGCTTATTCGCCTCCTGAGCCTCCTGAACGCCTCAGCCAGTGCCTGGCTGGCGTCAACGCCCTTCCCCTCCAGGTACTGGTCTTGCAGCTTGGCCTTGAATTGCTCCAGGTTGACCTTCCGGAGGGCACGGGCTCCCTCATTGGCCACCTCCTCTGACGGCAGGGCCTGCATGCCCTCCTGGAGAGGCGCCAGGATAGCCATCTCATTGTCCAGCATCTCCTCCGTGACCAACTCCTTGTGCCGCCGCCTGGCCGAGGACTCCTCCGGGGTCGGTTCCCGATGCTCCCTCAAGGCCTTATGCAGCTCCTCCTTCTTCCGGATCGCCTGGTCCACCTGGGGGTGGTAGAGCTGGAAGCTCTGAGCCTCCGCCTCCTTCAGGGACCGCTGCACTTTGACCTTGATCTCCTGGCATTCCCGGACCTTCAACGCCTCGTCGTCCGCCTCCATGGACAGGATCTCCTGCCGGATGTCCACCCGCCTGTTGAGCGGGACCACGTCTGCCATGGTGATCTCCTCTGCCGTGTCCGTTTCGGAGGAGCTCTCCCCAGGACCGTGCCGTCCACCAGGTTGCGGTCCGCCTGTGCCCGGGTACCACCGGGGCCAGCGGCACCCAGGCTTCCCCCTTTCCGCTGCTGGATCCAGGTCGGCTTGCCCTCCACAATGAGCAGGTTGTAAGTGATGCCGTCCGCCTCATAGGTAGCCGAGGGTGCCTGGAAGGGGACGAACTCCTTGCCTGGGCAGACCCAGCACTGCTTGGCTGCCTCCGGCCACCCCGTGCCGCATGCTTGCACATGAACTTGTAATCTGAGTGGCCTGCATCGAGTCTGTGCATCCGCTGGGTGCCAATGCACGCCTTGTTCCTCTGGAACTGTGAGGCCCAGACCTCCTCCTGCCGGATCTGGATCTTCATCGGAACATAGGCCTCCAGGATACGAATCACCAGGTCCTCCGTGAGATTCTTCCCGACAAACTTGTGGAACAGGGAGACCGCCTCCTCCACCGTGACGTCCCTCAGCAACGTGGCCGCCGATGCCGGAAGGACCGGGAAAAGGTCTGGGAGGTCCACTAACTTGAAGTAGCCGGGACGGCCCTCCACCGGCACCAGGGAGACCGGTTTGTTCACATGAGCCGTGGTCTTCTGGGAAGCCGCCACGAAACCCTTCAGCCTCTTCGTGGGTGGTGTCTGGGCCTCTTCCAGTGGAGTAGCCCGCTCCGTGGCGTCCGCATCTTCCATGTCCTTGTCCTCCTCCTCGGCGGGGCCAGGGGCACCCAAGCCGGAAGTCGGTGTGGCAAACGCCACACGGAGACGCTCCAGTGCACTGGAGAGGTCGTTCATCACGTCGGTAGCCGAAGCCGATGGGGGGCCTCGGGCTCGTCCAACACCAGGCCGGCCGCCACTGCCGCCTCGCGTGTGCGAATTTCCTGGGCCTCCTGGCTGGCCATTTCCACCTCCTCCGCGGTGAGCGTCAGGTCCTCAATCAGCTCGAAGGAGGTTGCCGAGGTTGCCGAGGAAGCCATTGCTTGATCGGGGTTAGTTCGGGGGTGTTCAAACTCAAATCTTTTTCACACAAATTGGGTTCAAAGAACCCAGGGCAAAGCTTGAGCCCAAATGGCATGCGCCATTATGGTCAAGCATTGCAAACACAGTTCATGTTTCCACATGCGTTTCAACATTAACAAAATATATTGTCCTGTCCTCCGCCGCCCCCCCCCCGGACCACAATATACATGTATATATATATATATATGTTTCCTTTGCTATTTGTCATTTCATATTCTCAAGAGCCAAATTCCCACGGGAACTGACTCCTTCTACAGAGCTTGACAAATCCGGGGAACAAAAACAAAACAAAAAACATACAAACCGTAACACGGGTGCAAAATAAGGCCCATGCCGCGCCTTGACCACGAGCGCGGGCTCCGCCAACTCATTCAAAGAATTGGCGCGGGAGGAATGGGCGAGCTCTTCCTCCTCCTTGGCGCCCTCGTGGGTAATGAGGAGAACCGACCTGAAATAAGGGTCCCGATGTTGGGCTATGCCGGGGACACCTAAATCAAAGAACAACAACACAAAAACACCCACAAACACATGATGATTGATTCCCTTTGCAAGAATCAGAAAAACAACCAAAAACACATGATGATTGATTCCCTTTCCAATACTCAGAGAGAAACAAAATAGGAACAACAAAAGAAACAAAAAACATGATGATTGATTCCATTTCCTATTTACAGGGGAACATAACACATTTGCTTGAGCAAATGGAGGGAAACGGTTGCGCGATTCTTCAACTCCAACCCCAGTGGGCCCTTGGCCGAATCCGTAGCTTAAGATGAACTCGGTCAACCATGAGCCTAGCTAAATGGGTGTTTGTTTTTAGTTGGAACCCCTTCTTGGGTGGCTTTAAGAGGAATCCAAAAGGAACGCCACCGCTCTGGGGGGCCCCCGAAAAGAAGACACACCCAAATCGTGTTCTACAAGCAAAACAAAGCAGAAAACAAAGATGGAACATGGGTGTGGGCCGGTGAAAAATAGGGTAATCCGCCGACCCCCCTGCCTGCAAGGGGAAGGCGCTGGGGGAGTGTTCGTTTAGCGTTGGAGCGTGACTGTGGCAGCCTTCTCCCTTCCCTTTCGCCCTCGCCCGTTCAGCCCTGTACCTTACCAGCCTTCTTTCTTTCCCTTTTTTCTTGTTCTTCTTCGTTTCTTTTCTTTCCTTTTCCTTTCGGCTGCCGGCGCACTCCTTTGGTTGGTGCTCGCTGTGGACAAACGAGTGCGGCCTGGAAAAGCGCGGGAAGCGAAGCTTTTGTGGCTGGCCGCTCCCTCTGGACCGATAGCCTTACTGCATATTGGACTCAAACGCGACGTTAGGCACCCGGCCGCGGCGGAGCAGGCTGCCGGCGCACTCCTTTGGTTCGTGCGCGCTGCGGTGAATCGAGTGCGGCCTCCCCCAGGGGTGCGGGGGGGGAAACGGCTGGGCAAGGGGGCAGGCGGCGGGCGGTGGGGCCTCCAAGCGGCCACGCTGGCCTGATGCCGATGCTGCCGGCGCACTCCTTTGGTTCGGCTGCTCGCTGTGGGCAAACGAGTGCGGCCTGGAAAAGCGCTCAAGCACCTGCAGGGCACAGTTTTCAGCGCTGAAGCTCTGTCACGGCCCGCCCGTCCGGCCTTTTTTCTTCCTTTCTGCTGCCGGCGCAGTCCTTTGGTTTCTTTCCTTTTCCTTTCTGCTGCCGGCGCGCTCCTTTGGTTGGTGCTCGCTGTGGACAAACGAGTGCGGCCTGGAAAAGCGCGGGAAGCGAAGCTTTTGTGGCTGGCCGCTCCCTCTGGACCGATGGCCTTACTGCATATTCAAACGCGACGTTAGGCACCCGGCCGCGGCGGAGCAGGCTGCCGGCGCACTCCTTTGGTTCGTGCTCGCTGCGGCGAAGCGAGTGCGGCCTCCAAGCGCGCTGGACGCGAAGCTGTTCTTGCTGGTTGCGCCCTGGGGACCGATAGCTTTCTACTTTCTATATAGGATTCAAAAGTGACGTTCGGCACCCGGCCGCGGCGGAGCAGCCGCCCTTGGCAAGACGCACAGCAAACCCAAAGGGAGAAAGACCAGAAATAGGCAAACTGTGACAGACGCAGGCGCACATGGGCATGGACAGGCCGGGGATTGAACCCGGCCCCTCTCGCATGCTGAGCGGGTGTGATGCAACTGCCCCTGAGCTGAGGAGGCCGAGAGCGCTCAACTACCTGCTGGGCACAGCTTTCAGCGCTGAAGCTCTGTCACGGCCAGCCCGTTCGGCCTGTTTTCTTCCTATCTGCTGCCAGCGCACTCCTTTGGTTGGTGCTCGCTGTGGGCAAACGAGTGCGGCCTGGAAAAGCGCTCAAGCACCTGCAGGGCACAGTTTTCAGCGCTGAAGCTCTGTCACGGCCCGCCCGTCCGGCCTTTTTTCTGGGGCACAGCTTTCAGCGCTGAAGCTCTGTCACGGCCAGCCCGTTCGGCCTGTTTTCTTCCTATCTGCTGCCGGCGCACTCCTTTGCAGCACGCCCACGTCAATAGGCTACTGTACTCGAGCCTCATTCCGCAAAATGCACCGTACAAACAAGCAAGCAAGCCTGAACCAGCCAAAAGCCGCTGCCAGAACAAACAAAACCTGGGCTGGCCCCCAGTGGGGGGGTCGGCGGCACTGGGTGGCAGCCCTTAAGTCCGGCCACCGGACGTGATCGGGCCGCAGGCCAAAGCCCGGTAGGGCTTACCTTCAGGTATAAGGCCGCGCGCCCCATGCCGCCGACCATGCGCAGAACATGCGCAGAACATGAGCAGAACTTTTTTGCGCTGGGCCCGCCCTTATAAGGGGCGAAGGATTCGCGGATTGGTTTAAGCGATTTTTGTGGCATCTCCCCGCAGCGCCTAAAAACGAGTCCAAAAACGAGTATTTTTAGGGGGTGCCAAATACTGGACAACACCCCCAGCATTGCCAGCATCATCCCGGATGATGCGGGTGATGTTATGCATGCTGGCGATGCGGAGGATGCTGGGGATGTTGTCCCCTAAGTCGGGCCAATTTTGCCGAAAACGTGCAACCTGAAAATCTTAAAGTGGATGGAAAATGGATGGAAAATGGCCTGGATTGAAATCTCAAAATCCTAGTCTTAGATTCTTAAAATTTTAAATTAAGATCTAACAATGAATGTCAAGATCTTAAAATCTTAGAACTTAGAATCTTAAAATCTGAAAATATAAAAACATCCTAAAGTCTTCGAATCTTGAAATCTTAAAAACCTTATGTGATAGAATCTTGAGATCCTAAACTCTTAAAATATGAAATTCCTAAAGTCTTACAATCTTAAAATCTCAGAATCTTAAAAAGCTTTAAAAACTTAAATTCTTTAAGCCTCGAACAATTGAAATCTGAAAATCTTAAATTATTAAAATATTACATTCCTTCAATCCGGGCTATATTTTAAATTCCTTAAACTCTTAATCTTGAAATTTTGAAATCTTGAAACCTTAAGATCTTAAAATTACAACCTTAGAAGTTAGAATCTTACCTTGAACATATAAACATCCTAAAGCCTTCGAATCTTGACTTCTTAAAACCCTCATGTCTTTGAATCTTCAGATGTTAAAATCTTAAAATATGAAATTCCTAATTTCTCAAAATCTTCAAATCTCAGAATCTTAAAAGCTTCAAAAACTTAAATTCTTTAAATCTCGAACTATTGCAATCTGAAAATCTTAAATTCATAAACAAGTAAAATATAATAAAATTCCTTCAATCCGGGCTATATTCTAAATTCCTTAAACTCTTAATCTTGAAATTTTGAAGTCTTGACATCTTAAGATCTTAAAATCTTAAATTCCGAAAGTCGCCAAATCTGAAAATCTCACAAAAATAAAATCTTAAAGCCTTCGAAATCTGATAATGGATGGAAAATGGCTGGGCAATGGCCTGGCTGTTATAACCTTCAAAAACCTTAAATCTTTGAATCTTAAAACCTTAATGCTTAAACCATTGACACCTTATTTTTCCGAAAGTCTTCAAATCTGAGACCCTTAGAATCTCAGAATTTTAAAATCTTAACATCTACTAATCGGACTTACAGGAAAGGGAAGTGACAGAACGGGCAGGGCAAGGTGCCCGGTGGCCGGCTGTGTCGCGTCAGCGTGTAAATCCGGCCACCGGGGGCCCCTGACCCCGTGGTCCGTGACATCGCCGAAGGCCTAGGCCCGCAGGGCCTACCAGGCCGTCCGCCCCATGCCGCCGACCATGTGCCGAACTTTTGCGCTGCGCCAAGCTGGGCCCACCCTTATAAGGGGCGAAGGATTTGCGGATTTGTTCAGGCGATTTTTGGCGCGGAGTCAAAAAACGAGTGTTTTTTGGGGGGTGCCCATAGTGGACAACATCCCCGGCATCACCTGCATCATCCGCATCCTTGGCGGACATTGATGCGGATGATGCCGGTGATGCGGGGGATGCTGGGGATGTTGTCCCCGAAGTCGGGCCAACTTTGCCGAAAACGTGCAACCTGAAAATCTTAAAATCTTAAAGTGGATGGAAAATGGATGGAAAATGGCCTGGATTGAAATCTCAAAATCCTAAAGTCTTAGATTCTTAAAATCTTAAATTAAAATCTAACAATCAATCTTAGAATCTCGAGATCTTAAAATCTTCGAACTTAGAATCTTAAAATCTGAAAATATAAAAACATCCTAAAGTCTCGGGGGATGCTGGGGATGTTGTCCCCTAAGTCGGGCCAACTTTGCCAAAACGTGCAACCTGAAAATCTTAAAACCTTAAAGTGGATGGAAAATGGATGGAAAATGGCCTGGATTGTCCTTGATAAAAACATCCTAAAGTCTCGGGGAAAATCTAAAACTTTGCCGAAAACGTGCAACCTGAAAATCTTAAAATCTTAAAGGGATGGAAAATGGCCTGGATTGAAATCTCAAAATCCTAAAGTCTTAGATTCTTAAAATCTTAAATTCAAATCTAACAATCAATCTTAGAATCTCGAGATCTTAAAATCTTCGAACTTAGAATCTTAAAATCTGAAAATATAAAAACATCCTAAAGTCTCGGGGGATGCTGGGGATGTTGTCCCCTAAGTCGGGCCAACTTTGCCGAAAACGTGCAACCTGAAAATCTTAAAATCTTAAAGTGGATGGAAAATGGATGGAAAATGGCCTGGATTGAAATCTCAAAATCCTAAAGTCTTAGATTCTTAAAATCTTAAATTAAAATCTAACAATCAATCTTAGAATCTCGAGATCTTAAAATCTTCGAACTTAGAATCTTAAAATCTGAAAATATAAAAACATCCTAAAGTCTCGGGGGATGCTGGGGATGTTGTGCCCTAAGTCGGGCCAACTTTGCCGAAAACGTGCAACCTGAAAATCTTAAAATCTTAAAGTGGATGGAAAATGGATGGAAAATGGCCTGAATTGAAATCTCAAAATCCTAAAGCTTAAAGTCTGAAAATATAAAAACATCCTAAAGTCTCGGGGGATGCTGGGGATGTTGTCCCCTAAGTCGGGCCAACTTTGCCGAAAACGTGCAACCTGAAAATATTAAAATCTTAAAGTGGATGGAAAATAGATGGAAAATGGCCTGGATTGAAATCTCAAAATCCTAAAGTCTTAGATTCTTAAAATCTTAAATTCAAATCTAACAATCAATCTTAGAATCTTGAGATCTTAAAATCTTCGAACTTAGAATCTTAAAATCTGAAAATATAAAAACATCCTAAAGTCTTCGAATCTTGAAATCTTAAAACCCTTATGTCTTAGAATCTTGCGATCTTAAACTCTTAAAATATGAAATTCCTACAGTCTTAAACTCTTACTCTTGAAATTTGGAAATCTTGAAACCTCAAGATCTTAAACTTACAACCTTAGAAGATCGAATCTTACAATCTGAAAATATAAACATCCTAAAGTCTTCGAATCTTGACTTCTTAAAACCCGAATATCTTTGAATCTTCAGATATTAAAATCTAAAAATATGAACTTCCTAAATTCTCAAAGTCTTAAAATTTCAGAATCTGAAAAGCTTTCAAAACTTAAATTCTTTAAATCTCGAACTATTGCAATCTGAAAATCTTAACTTCATAAACAAGTAAAATATAATAAAATTCCTTCAATCCGGGCTATATTTTAAATTCCTTAAACTCTTAATCTTGAAATTTTGAAGTCTTGACATCTTAAGATCTTAAAATCTTAAATTCCGAAAGTCGCCAAATCTGAAAATCTCACAAAAAATAAAATCTTAAAGCCTTCGAAATCTGATAATGGATGGAAAATGGCTGGGCAATGGCCTGGCTGTTATAACCTTCAAAAACCTTAAATCTTTGAATCTTAAAACCTTAATTCTTAAACCATTGAAACCTTAAATTCCGACAGTCTTCAAATCTGAGACCCTTAGAATCTCAAAGTTTTTAGAATCTGAAAATCTTAACATCTACTAATCGGACTTACAGGAAAGGGAAGTGACAGAACGAGCAGGGCAAGGTGCCCGGTGGCCGGCTGTGTCGCGTCAGCGTGTAAATTAACCCCAAAATGGATTGCCCCATGGTTAATGGAAACAAAGACTAAAACCTGCGGGTCCCTGGTTGGATTCTGACTCATACCCCACATATTGACCAACCCAGACCCAAAACCCGCAAAAGCCGGTGCGAACGTCAGTAGGGGAAGTTCCGCGGCTTCCTTTCCTCGAGCTGCGGAAGTTCTCTTCTCGCACTGTGGATTGATTTCAAGGTCCAGACTCTCTGATTTGATCCCATGGCAACTGGGTTTCTGGATCATTCAGCAAGTCAGAAGCAAACCGATTGGTGTTCACATGGACTACCCAGAACCATGGCTCGCTGGATCTCCCAAAAAAAAACAATATCAGGAGCATGTTACACGTCTAAGTATTTGGACAAACGAACAAGCGGGGATACGGAGGGAGCGGGGATATGGGGGATTTCCCTCGGCGCCATTTCCCATATCAAACTTCGTCAAAATGCATCAAACGGGGGCATCCTCCCGTATCCAACTGGTTGCCCCTGTATCCCAGTTGGTTTTCTGATCCTTGCATCCCGTTCAAACCAAGTTGCATAGGGTACGCATTCACAATCACAATTAGGGGCTATTTAGTACCCTCATTCAGATAATCTAAAGGGCGGTCCCCTTGGTTGACATGGCGTTCTGAGCTCCCTTCGCCCTTGAACGACTGCGTCTGGCGATCGCGCCTTGCCAATAAGGTTTTCCGGACTAACCCCCCCGAAAAGTGAAGAACACTTTTTGCAGGGGGTCAAGGTCAACAGCAACCAAGGGTTTTCCACTAACCCCCCAAAAGTGAAGAACACTTTTTGCAGGGGGGTCGTTGAGGCAACCAAGGGATGGGGAGGTTCTTGTTTGACCAGTTTACAACTTGGAACTCGGAGGCTTCCACCAGAAACTCGATTGACCGTGCGTCAAAACCTGAATCATGGGAGGGGGGGGTTGTCAAAAAAGGGACCCCTTGTCTGATTGGGAGTAAAGGGAAACCAAGAAAAACAAACCCACAGTATCAATAGTTTACGCATGACTTCGGTGTAGATGCCAGGAACACGCCAAACAAAATGGTTATCTTGTAGTGCACCTTCTCTTAAGAATTGTTTCATGCCTGGGCGTCCCAATTGGGAGAACCTTTACAACCATCAAGTCGTGGTGTTGCAGGTCTGGGAATATTTCAGCCAGCGAACACATCCCGGCCGTTGATCCGGTATCGCCCCTGGGACTTGCGGATGATGGTGTTGTCCTTGCGGATGCACATGGACACATCTCAGAATCCCTCTAATTAGTGGTTTGCATTGGTGGCTTTGGAGGCTAGAGGGGTGGTTCATTTACAATCTACAAAAAACCAGGGGTTCAGATACCAGTGACGGGCTACCTGAATTGCCCCAACGGAAACACACAGGCTCACCATCTCTGGGAGCTGAATGGGTATGTGTCAGACTGGGAGGTCTCAAAAAGTATGCTTCTTTTCCCCTTTTGGTTTCCATTTGAACCAGACAACGGTACCCTGAAAAATACACACTCCCAAGGGTCTGGCATAAGAATTGCCCATCCCGTGTTGGTGGTTTTTGTTTAGAGGAAGCTATGAGCTGGCTATTTGGTACCCATCTTTTTCTTCAGTCAACATGGAGCACTGAGCTTGATGGCCTCTTTCCAATGGAAGTGGACACGCGGCTTCCACAAGCTCTTGCAGAACTTCAGGTGCTGCAGTCTGACCACAGAGCCATGGGCTGGCGCTCCAAATTCCCATCAGCGCTGGCCGAGATTGCCATGCTTAATGCCAAGATTCGACTTGTTTGATTGAGTTTTGAAAAAGCAAGCTGTACCAGGGACATGTTGGCGTCCTACCTACAACTGTCTTGCCATCATTCACTGGCTTAGTCTTTGACTCCCCAGACGAAAAGATACTCTGTTCTAGAGAATTGCTCCCCTAAAGATTACTGCGACACTGAAACGGCATGTCGAATGGGTTCTATGACTGATGGTGTTTTGGGTTCCAGGTTCATCGACAGGTTGAATGATGGGCGACGACAAATTAGTTGCTTCCGGATGTTTGTGTGCAAGCGTTCGGAACACGTTAAAAAGAAAACCTCTCATCAGGTTGAGCGAAAGACAAAACAAGTTGAGCGAAACAAGGCAAAGCCAAACCCAAGAGCCCGGAATACCCAACATACCCCGACGAACTCATCCGATGAAATGCCCAAAGGTGGCTGGCTCGGGATTTGATTTTGCAAGTCTCAGCGGCACTCACCAAACTCGGGAAATCCCAACTTGCAAACTTCAGCATTTTATTTGGGCCTGCCTTGCTTGAGGGTAGTGGTTTTGGGAAAATCAAGAGGAAAACCATGTTTTTGTTGTGGGGGGGGGGGGTGGGTGGGCCTAAAATCAGGACGTGCTACAGTACCCCTGATAAACTCAGGCCCTAGTCACCAATGAAACGCCTCTGAAGGCTCCAGGGAGGAGCAACTTGTCCCAATGGCTACACAAACCAATACGTATATCATATATATATATATACATCTTCAAATATATGTGTGTGGCTCAAAATTAAACAGGAGGGGTTCCGCAGGCTGTGGTCCGTGTTTCCAGTTGCCAGGGTTCCATGAGTTGGTACTGGTTGTTTGGGCCACAGCCACATATATATATATATGTATATCTATATATATATATGTATATATCTATATATATTATATATGATGAGAGACAATTTTATATTTCCTCAACCTCAACATATCATAGATTGGCCCACAAACAAAAGGTACGCAGAAGAAAAGTGCCAGACTCTGTTTCATATCTCGTCTCCCCAAGACCAAAACTCACTTGAGTGCATTAGCCAGGAAATGTCCAAAATAATGTTTACCAACTAAAGCGGTCTTTCCAAACAGTTTGAAGTCCATGAGCTCAGGGACTGAGTTTCAAAACCATTTTGAAGACGGATTTGTTTTCTGAGAATAGGGACGCTTGGACTTCTCACTTGGGATGTGTTTCCCTGTGGATCCTCCAAGATCACGGGCCAATTCTCGCAGAGCTGATGAATCTCCTCGCAACGAGGGGGGGGGGTCTCCCAATTCAGTTTCGTAAAAACAAATGGAACGCAATGGAGACCTGCGTCCCTCTGTTCCACGTCAGGGATGTTCTGAATCCCGGGCTCCCTCTGGTCCGAGCTGAAACCCTTCATGGGAAACTCACCCATAATGTTGGGGCAAGATGTACCTGGAGTCTCCGTGACCCTTTTAAAATAAAGCCATGACCCCATTCCTTTGGGTAATGACCCCATTTTTTTAAGGGGTCATGGAGACTCCAGGTGATTGTTTTCATGGTAGTTTGAGCAGAACCACAAACCAACACAGCTGCATCTCAACATCGAGCGAAGGTTTTGGCGAAGCTCCCGCGGCAAAAACAAGTTCCTTTCGCGAGAGGTTTTGAGGGAATTGTGTTCGCATCGCTTTTGCGCATTGGGCAATGAACTTAAAACTTGGGTTTCGAAATCACGCAGGCAGGAAAACTACCTGGTGTCTCCATGACCCCTTAAAAATGGTTCCCAGGGCTTCCCAGTTACTTGTATAGTAGGTAACTGGGCTCCAGCGACGGATTTGGCGGAACTAGGGCCGGTTACCTGTTTTTTAAGTAACCAGCGTAGGGGGGGAAATTGGTTCCTTTTTGAGAGTTTATGTGCTGTCGCCTGAGCTTACGCGCGGGTCGGCATAGTGTTGGTGAGGGTTGATTTACGGCAGGCGCTGGGCTGGTTTAGGGCTGATTTGAGGGCCGTTTAAACCTTTTTAGGTTTTGGATGACATTGAGTTCAAGATTGGCTTAGGATGTACTCAATTTGGATTTAGGGCTCGCGGAAATCTAGATGGCTCATAGCATAACTTAGCCCTTTTATGCTTCACAACTCAGAACACACACACACACAGCATTGTTCCATGGAGTTTGGAAAGACGCCGCTGCAACTAGAGTGAGTAGTGTACAGCGCATATGTCTCAGGGCAATAATTAAATATCACAGTCCCAAAAACTACAACTTCTACAGCAACCATAGCTGCTTAATGCCGCCTCTCAAAACAACGTTCAGGTATTTACAAAGCAAGTTTAGATTTGGAGGCAACAATCGTAAATGTATGTAGACATATTTCTCACCGAAGTGCCTGGGCAAAACAGATAACCGCAGCTGCCTACAAAACACCCGATACAGTCGCACAACACACACAACAAATCAGATCCGCGCACACACACACACGCCAAAGAACCGACCATACTTGCACATTGCGCAGCAAATGAGAAGCAACCCAAGCAGCTAAGCAACTATGATAACCACACTCATGCCGCACACACCAACACAATTTGCACACCCTTCATCACCCGCTAGAACCACACACCACGCGCCAAAGGATACTCAAACTCTCCAATTCGCCACAATCAAGCACCACACAATACGTGATGAACATTCCTGTCAACATGCAGCCACACAACAAGTCAGAAACACGCGCACCGACTGAGTACCTGCCAAAATCACATACCACACAACACAAAATAATCACACCTGCCAACTGAAACACCCATCACATTCACACATCACACAAGCCAACCGTCAGCACCCGGGCCAAATGCTTACAGCCAGCAACCACACAAACAAACAACCCATTCGCCAGGTGAACACTCGCCAAACTAACGAACCATACAGCAAACTCAAAATGCACGGCCACCAGCTGAAGACCCGCCATACTCGCGTACCTAGTTGACCTCTGAATACACGCATAATTTCACACATGTGATGAACACCCGCTAACAAAGCACCCATCGCAGTCACGCACCACGTGACAAAGTAGAACAACTCACGGCAACTGAGCACCCTGCACACTTGCGTAGCACACAACCAATGATAAGCACGCCAGCCACCTAAGGCACCGCGCAAAGGATGAACTGAACACGCGCCAACAGGCGCAGTCATACACCGTGCAACCAAGTGACAACCACACCCGCCAACAAAGCACTCGCCTGAGTCACACACCGCATCAACACATAACAAACAAACACGCCCGAACGCCAGCCATACTCACACCGCGCACAAATGACAAGGTTAAACACCTGCCACACTTACGCACCACGTCACAAACGACACGCCCACGCCCCAACTAAGCACCTGCTAGAGTCACTCACCACACAAGAAGGGGCGCTGGCACCGACCAACTGAGCGCCAGCTACAGCCAAACACTGCATAACGAATAGATAAGCACACTTGCCAACTATCCACCGGCCATGCTCATGGAACCACACACTAAATTACAAGCACTCGGGCCAACTGAGCAGCCGCCACACCAACACACCGCACAACAAGTGAGCAACGCGCGCCGGCGACAAACGCAATGACAAGTGCTGCGTCAGGAAAACCTTGCCAGCGCAAGAAGGGCGAATCCGGAACCGTTAAAAAAGGGCCCGGAACCGTTAATCCGGAGCAGCGAGCTGGCTACGCCCAACAAAAAAGCGGTCTACCAGCCAAAAAATATACACATGTTAATGATTCCAGGTAAATTCCAAGGCACAATTGCAACAACCTGAGGTTATTCAGCCGAGTCTGTAACAATCCTGCGCGGGGTTGAGGTTCGAGGGGAAGTTCGGGCTCAGCTTCAGGCGAATGTTGTGTCGTGGGTTAGCTTGCCGGGTGTTCAGTTGGCGGGCGCAGCGCTTATTTGCCACTAGATTCACACTAGATTCACCCCAAATTTCCATTGTACTTGCAAAAATGCCGGAACCCATTGTTTTCCACATGAAAGTCATGGAGCACGCGGTTTTTCACCAAATTTGGGCCCAATTTTCCCTCTAACGGTTCCGGTCCCTACCTAACGGTTCCGCCCCCTTTTTTAACGGTTCCAGGCCCCTTTTTAACGGTTCCGGGCCCTTTTTTAACGGTTCCGGATTCGCCCTTCTTGCGCTGGCAAGGTTTTCCTGACCCAGCACTTGTCATTGCGTTTGTCGCCGGCGCGCGTTGCTCACTTGTTGTGCGGTGTGTTGGTGTGGCGGCTGCTCAGTTGGCCCGAGTGCTTGTAATTTAGTGTGTGGTTCCATGAGCATGGCCGGTGGATAGTTGGCAAGTGTGCTTATCTATTCGTTATGCAGTGTTTGGCTGTAGCTGGCGCTCAGTTGGTCGGTGCCAGCGCCCCTTCTTGTGTGGTGAGTGACTCTAGCAGGTGCTTAGTTGGGGCGTGGGCGTGTCGTTTGTGACGTGGTGCGTAAGTGTGGCAGGTGTTTAACCTTGTCATTTGTTGCGCGGTGTGAGTATGGCTGGCGTTGGCAGGCGTGTTTGTTTGTTCTGTGTTGATGCGGTGTGTGACTGAGGCGAGTGCTTTGTTGGCGGGTGTGGTTGTCTTTGGTTGCACGGTGTATGACTGCGGCGGATGCGCGTTGGCGCGTGTTCAGTTCATCCTTTGCGTGGTGCCTTTGGTGGCTGGCATGCTCATTATTTGTTGCGTGCTATGTAAGTGTGCAGGGTGCTCACTTGGTGTGTCCCTACTTTGTCACGCAGTGTGTGACTGCGGCGGGTGCTTTGTAGGCGGGTGTGCTGATAACTTGTGTGAAATCATAGGTTCATCCAAAGGGAGTGTTTGAACATGTATTATATATAGTATTTGAGTGTGGAGGTGGTGTGTTTTTACAATTCACTGTAGGCACGCGCCTGTGGCGGGTCTTCAGTTGATAGCCGTGCATTTTGAGCTTGCTGTTTGGTTCGTTAGTTTGGCGAGTGTTCAGCTGGCGGATGGGTTGTTTGTCTGTTGTGTTGTCGCTAGCTGTAGGTATTTGGCCCGGGTGCTGATGGTCTATTTGTGTGATGTGTTCAGTTGGCAGGTGTGATTATGTTTTGTTGTGTGGTATGTGATTTTGGCAGGTACTCAGTCGGTGCGTGTTTGTGACTTGTTGTGTGGTGAGTGGCTGCTTGATGAATCCCGAATCCGAGGATGGGGCCTTCCCAGTCCCGAATCTCGAATCTCAAATCCCGAATCCTGAATGCGAGGATGGGGCCTTCCCAGTCCCGAATCCCGAATCCCGAAATGTGACTCGAGTCCCGAATCCCGAATCCCGAATCCCGAAATGTGACTCGAGTCTTGAATCCCGAAACCCGAAAATGTGCTTCGAGTCCCCAATCGCGAATCCCGAATTCCGAATCCCAAAAATGTGATTCGAATGCCAAATCCCGTATCCCGAATCCTGAAATGTGATTCGAGTCCCGAATCTGAATCCCGAACATGTGCTTCGAGTCCCAAATCGCGAATCCCGAGCTCAAAATCCAAAAAATGTGATTCGAATGCCGAATCCCGAAAACATGATTCGAGTCCCGAATCCCGAATCCCGAATCCCTAAATGTGATTCCAGTCTCGAATCCCGAATCCCAAAAAAGTGATTCGAGTCCCGCATCCCGAACCCCGAATCCCGAAAATGTGATTCGAGTCCCGAATCCCGAATCCCGAACATGTGATTCGAGTCCCGAATCCCGAATCCCGAATCCCGAACATGTGATTCGAGTCCCGAATCGCGAATCGCAAATTCCAAAAATGTGATCCGAATGCCGAATCCCGAATCCCGAAAATGTGATTCGAGTCCCGAATCCCCAAAATGTGATTTGAGTCCCGCATCCCAAATCCCGAATATGTGATTCGAGTCCCGAATCCCAAATACCGAATCTCGAATCCGGAAAAAGTGCTTCGAGTCCCGAATCGCGAATCGCGAATCCCGAAAATGTGATTTAATCTCGAAATGTGATTAAATCCCCAATCACGAAATTGGCAGCGACCTCCGGATCGCCACTCATCCCTACCCAGCATACAAAGGGCAGATATGCACCACGAACAGCTTGCTAACAGGCATAACCTGGCACGCCAGCGGGCTTCATGGCAAAACTAATGCATGGCTTGCAAGGTTTCTATTCCGGATCCCCCGACCAAGCGGATTTACCAAATTCAATGCGCCATGGATCTCCCAAACCTGTTTTGCATTGAACACATGACACAATCCGGATCCAGCCATGATTTTATTGCTGTGTGTCTCAAACACACTTCTATCACCAGTGAAAACATGCTCCTCATTGATTGCATCCATTGCTTTGAGCACCAAAATCCTATTAAGGGCTCTGAATGCACCAGTCGCACAACCCGACAACGCAAAATATACTGTTTTGGGTCTGTTTGAAGTCTGTTTGGCCCGGTTCCTGGAACCAAGTTCTATGACCCTGCTATAGCGGGAACCAAGCTGGTTCCTGACATATAAGTTACCGGAAGCCCTGGGGTTGTCATTACCCAAAATAATGGGGTCATGACCAACCATGTTTATTTCGGGTCACGGAGACTCCAGGTACGTCTTAAATGTTCGATTGAAGCGCACAAGCTTGGGCGGATTGAAAGTTGATCGGGCGAAAAATTGGGGAGAGGAGCATGCAGAGACCTTTCGCGGTATTTCTTGGTTGACGTTGGTAGGGGAGCAACAATTTAAATTTTAGCAGTTAAGTGGTGGGATTTCAACCACTAAACCACAATAAGCAAACATGAAAAATGTTTCCCAACAAGAACCATGATTTGGGCTGCGTTTGAGTTCTTGGCCAGCGTTTTACCCACCACATGCATTGGTTAGGGTCTCGTGTAAAACCACACGGTGAGGCAGGCATCCCAAAGACGCTTTGTCGTTGTTCTAGCAAGCACGGGCTTATACAAGCAGATTTCTAAGCTCATGACATGCCTGCCTTCACTTGACCACAGGTTTGTTCATGAGTGAGTCTTGCCACCGGCACTTGCTCCATGCCAGTCAACATAAAGATTGTGGCCCCTTAGCGAACCTTTCGCGAGATACATGATAAACCCCTTTCAGGAGCCCTTCGTGGCGCTTCCGCGGCCTAGGTTTTGAAAACGACGCTTCCCAATTACTTTCAACTGCAGGGGTACTGGGGTCTCACGTCGCTCAAATGGGTGGTGTTCCTTTCATTTTTTTGTAAACCCCCAAAAAGGGTACTCTCCAAATGGACACGACATGAACAGACATCCAAAAGGGTAACCATCGGAGCCCGGGAACATTCAAGTTCATCGGACCCCGGAGACAGCTGTCTGGACAGCACCAAGCGGGGAGGGGCGGGGGGGGTTGACATGGAGCTCGGAGCGAATATGGGTCTAAATTTCAATTGGGGATTATTTGGTGGACAGCATTTAGGTGGGGATCCATGTCCACCAACCACTTTGGAGGGGGCTCCCCAGCCGCATAATATGGCCTTCCCCCTGTGGCTTCCTTGATACAGCATGCATGTCACCCTATTCAGCACCCAGAACGTCAGCGTCTGCTAGGCTTTTGGCAGGAGTTGAGGCCAACCGAAGACTGAGTGATAGCCATGTTGTACAGTAACTGTGGCAAAAAGGCAGCGTTTTTAGTGGTTGACTTTTATGGTGAGTCGAAACCCGTAAAAGAAGAAAGAGGGTGCCCCTGAACAACTGACCATTAAGAGCTCAGTCCTAATCCCCAGAGACCCCAGTGACTATAAGACGAAAGGGCGCCTCGCTTCTTGATACTTGATTTTGACGTCCACAGAAGGGACAAGCCCAGGTGGTTCCCAAAACCGCAAGCCCGGATTCCTTTCGGAACCCAAAAACGCGTGAAGCCACTCCAAACCACTCTGGAGCCTGCCTAAGCGGAGTTTCCATAGCTTTCAGCTATCGGGGAAAAAGGAAGAAGCCCACGTGTCCGCGTTAATAGATTAGAATCAGCCCAGTCCTGGTCGATGATGTCCCGGGAGAAAAATCCGGACAACACGTCCCTGGCGAATCCATCCAGCAAAGGGCCATGAGAAACCACCGCTGGTTTAAAAACACGTCACCTGACTTCCTGGCTTGATTACTCGGCCCAAACAAACATGGCATGCCGCTGGTCTCGATGGACAAGTGTGTGTGTGTGTGTGCCCCATTGCCGGAGCAACATAAGCTACAAGTTCATCGTGTTCTGCAGAAATGGAAACATCGGGTGGTCCTAACCTGGTCGTTTTTGCAGAAAGTCGTTTTCACAGGACCACAAAAAAAAGAAAACGTCACATAAAGCTCATCCCCCCTACCCTGAGGGAAATAATTCCATTTATCTAATGGAGTTCCAGGCAAAGTCACCCCCTTCCCCAATTCCATGTTTTAAGGGGGTGGGGATTAACTCTCGAATGCTTGGATTTGTAGAAAGTTCAATCACCCCAGTCCAAGCCAGCTCAACGGTTTCTCCCTGTTTCGACTGCTCTTGAAATAATGACTCACTGGCTATTTACTCCCCTACAGATTCTATGGGTGCCTGAAAAAATAGGGAGCAATATTGTGGGTTTCCCTTGGGTTTCGCTTCAAACCCATCCAAAACGGGTACAAACTCCAACAAGCCCAACCACCCCTGTAGAGCCAGCAGCAACCCTGGAACCCGCCCGGGTCACTCCGAACCAAAGGGCGCCCTCTTGTTCCCCTTCTTCCACTTGCTTAAGCCCACTGAACAAGAACAGACATACTCTCAGTAGCGAGAAAATCTCTGTAAAACCAGCAGGGGCAAAACACACATATTCCTTTCAGCAAATGGAAGCCTTGGAAAAGCGAGGGCATCCGCTCCCAGCCACCCCGAGAGGCGAGACTTGGCCTTGGCATCACGCGCGATCACATCCCTCACCTGCACAGGGCGCCAGCTCAAGGCGCCGGAAACCTACTTGCACACAGTCCAGCTCAAGTTTTGCCGGGAACCTGGACTTGGAAACCTCACTTACCCATAGACCAAACAGGGAAAACCAAAAGGGGGCCTTGGACAACTAGGACCACTGAACCTTCCAAACAGGCGATTTCCCGATTTTCCTCCAAACCAACCCAACTAAAGGGTACCGAGCCTCCAACAAAGCCACAGCCGCTTGATCCAGGGGTTAGATTTCGCTTTCAAGCCAAGCTGAACATCAGCTTTGGACCAATTCTTGCTGAGTTTCCTCTAGGAGGAAGAAAGGTGGACAAATGGCTGTGGCTCAAAAAAACAGAATTCCAAAATGGGTTGCCCGATCGGTACGTGAAAACATGGAAGCCCGCGGTTTGCTCCTCCGATCGTTTCATTTTGAGCCACCCACATATCGGGAGGTCGGGACGCCAATGGTGCCCTCTCCTCACTGGAAACCTGGAGGCGCCCCCTTTCAGCCCGCTGGGCTGTCAGTTCTCTGATCCCCAAAAAGTTTGACTAGTGGGTCAAGTGGAAACTACTCCCACTAAAACAACTAGCCTAAGGAAACGCATGCCTGAAAAATCAATTTCATTATACATTGTCTTTAATTCACCCGGTAAGAGAAGCTAGAAGGGTTTGTCACAGGTCCCCCTCAGAAATACACAACAACTTTTTGGAGTGGGAAAAAACGTCCGACCCCAAACCATTCTAGGAATATCTTCCAGGGAAAACGGCTCTTGCTCATGTTTGGTTGGCACAAATAAGGTCAAGCAATCCTCGAGAACATTTGCCAATCGGGCTCCCTTGTCACGTTCCCCATGGCGGGCAAGAAGCATCTAGATGATGAAGGTGTATATGTGTCTCAAAGGGGACCGCAAAAGTGGCTGTTGTCCTTTTAACGCTTGTTCTCTGATCCGACTTGAAAGGGGACCCTCAAATAAAAAAGGTACAAATGTCTGGTGGTGAAGAAATGAGTGCTTCTCGGCCGATAGCACAAGACTTGAGGCATGCCGCTTCCGTATTTGGGAATGTGCCTCTGTTTGAGGCTCGGTACCCTTCTGGTTTTTGGTGTCAAGGGAAACCCAGCGGAAACCGCTTGGTCTCTGAAAAAAACAAACCAACAAACCAAGCATCTGCATGGGTCTTGGCTTCTAAAACCAGACTCTTGTGTAACCAAGACGTGAACAAATCGCTTTCCACCCAGGCCGCAGATCAGCGCTTGAATCTCGGGCATGGACATATTTTGTGCCCAGCATATTGATATGTAATACGTTCTCTGCAATGGTTGTTCAGCTCAAGCTTGGGCAATGCTTTGATCATTCCCCTCACTCAATGATGACATCGAAGACCAAGCTAGCCAGCAAAACCTTTAACTTTTGTGTTACTGGGAACATACGCAGCTCCCCACAAACTTGGAGGTCATCGCCCAACCAAACGGCACCCAGGATAGCGTGATTGGCGAGATTCACGATGCAAGTGCAACCGATTTCGCGTGTTGAAAAGGAATATTCAAAGGGGAACAGGGCATTTGAGCTTGGCGCGTTTTCTGGAGTACCGCTTTTGTTGGGGTGGTTGAAAGGGCAACCAAACATTTTGTGGGCTCCCCTATGGGGCAAACCCGTTTATGGGGTCCCCTGCAGCAAAAACAAAACGCATGGAACCGGTAAGCCGTCAGCTAGGCCTGAGTCCATAGCTGCTCAGCTGTGGATGTCAGGTGATGTTGTCGCTGATGTGTCTTGAAGCTCTGTGGTGTGATTTCAATATACAGAACACAAAAAGGAAACCATGGCCACGTGACGCCGCATGGATTATGTCAAACCGTGAGTCAATTGTGCTTTGGAATTTGCTTGTTGGCTTGTTCAAGGTAGCCGAAATCTTGGGGCTGAATCGTTGTCCCAGTGTTTCCTTTAAATACCGGGTAACCAGGGGAACCAGTATGCACCCTGAAGTAATTTACCCACACAATCAGTGTTCTCAAGCGCCGAGCAATTCACTCGACTTGGCTTGATCCGAGCTCGGGCAGAATTTTGTGCGTCTCCCGCACTGATCACATGCCAGGGGATACAAACTTAGATTGAGCCATCAGGACCTCCTCAAACTAAACCTGAAACCCGCAATAACCTCGGCATTCTCCAGAGGAAGTGTCTTCAGGGTGGGATTCGATTTGAGTGCTGATTTCCAGTGGGTCCAGGACCCTTTGGTGGATCAAACATGCCGGGGATTCATGTCCACTCTTAACATTCACAGCCATGATTGGTTGCAAGGGAGTATCAAGCTTCTGGCGACTGACTCTGAGCGCCAAGCGTCACATGGCCATATTCTGCTCCCCTGCTAAAAGTTTAACTTTTAGTGGTTTAATGGAAAAAACCATGAGTCGTCACTTGCTTCCGTCTAGGGACACAAAAACCCTTGTTTTTGGGGACTCCTGTAGACATGCAAGTTTACAGCTAAACACGGTGTACGGCTCTGAATTTCAATAATTAGGGAATCATCTCCAAATTTGGTGGACATGAATCCCCATGGAGCTGTCAAAACTAACCATCCATAGGGCGGTCTGTGTTGAGGGCACCCCTGTTTTGGTGGGTTGGAAAGGGAAAGCCAAGAAAACCCGAAGCCATTTTTGGGGCGTCCAACCTCAATAACAGGAGCCACCCCAATTTAAGCGCATTGCCATTCGAATCTTTGCGGGATCCTATTTTCATCCATGGCTACGACTGAGAAATCAATTCGCAACTTCCCATCCATGCCATATCGAAAGACCCTTGATTTGTCATTTGTTTCTCCCCGGTGAACAATTCCCCGCCAAACAAAAAAACAAAGGATGGCTGTGAGGGCCTAAATTCGCATGGGTTTGCGGGCTACTGATATCCGAATGGGTTCACAAGGGAAACCACAGGGAAACCCACCCATTTTGGGGGGGTTCGATTGTGACACACACACAATGAGTCAGCTTCCCTCCAATTCGTTTGGGGGTTGGCTAGGTGTTTTCCTGTGGTGGTTGCGAAGCACTTTTCACGAGAATCAGAAGTTCTAACCCCCAAACAATCCAAGCCCACCTATTGACAGTTTCGAGGTAAGACCAAAACTAACTCATTTTTAGGTTTCCATCGTCCAGTTTTTGCACGCAGCCGAGGGCCGGAGCCCTACCCAAACCTTCCGAAGACCCGCTTAAACTGCGTTGGTGGAAAAACAACTGCTTTACCCGGTAAAGGGCGTCCCCTGGCAGGTGGGTGAAATGGGGGCCACATGGACGTCCTAGGCTCAGACACAAGCTCAACACAAATATACCGGAGCATGCGGGCCAAAGATCCGTGCCTAAGATGAAACTGGCAAAAAAACACGCGCACACACACACCCATATGGGTGTGAAGTTTCAGTTCGGGAAGCTTTCGTGGAAATCATTGATGGTCGTCCACAACAACGACACCCACAGCAACAGTAGGACTCTGAGGCCAAAGAGTGACTGGTGGCTCAAACTTCAACCAGGGTTCCATTTGGGTGTCGATTTTTTGGGACGGGGAACCCGAAAAATAGAAACCGCAACGGTCTTCCTCTAAAACCGCAAGCAAAAAGGCAGAATAAGACGGGAGGCACCCATTTCTGAGCCACATCTTGTCGTCAGTAACCAAAGCCTCTGCGCAGCACGCAGCATCGTGCGATGATGCTGCGGAAGCGGGAGATTGGTTTTGCCCGGATGGATGAACCCGGCCTATTCCCCTCCAACGGTGGTCTGAATCCCCACCAAAAAGGACACCCTTGATCCAACTCAACCAGTAACTACCAATCTGGGGTCAACCTTGTTCGGGTGAACCGTCGGGTGGCTAGATGATTGCCGTCGTAACCTCCTCCTCGTCGACGGCCACCGGCGCGTCCTGCCACGAAACGCTGCTTCGACTTTTCTCACGCCCCGATTAACGGGTTGGTTGACGCAATTTGGAGGGTGAAGCTCCTTAAGAAAATACTGGCGGCTATATTGATTTCAAATGCTGGTTTGAACCTCAGGTGGGGCCAAGCAACTGTTTTAGCATGATTGGAGATCGGTGGATGGACAAAATCCTGCAGCAGCGGGGATGGATGAAGCCCCATAGATATATGCAGGGGTAAACCACCTATAAACAGGTGCGAATCGGATTTGTTCCACCCACGGTGCTGTGGATGGACGAATACCCCTCGAGTGATGAAACCTTGTAAAATCAAACAATGCTTTCAACCATCTTTCAGCCACTTAGCCCAAACGCTTGCCGGAGCGCTTCACGAGGCAACGCCTGAGACCGGCGAAACCTTGGCTTCAGTCAGAGAGGTGGTTCTGCAGTCATCGCTGTGTCCAGACGAAGCCGTGACACGGTCAAGCCAGCTTTCCGGCGCGTTGCTCAACATGCCCTATAGATGCTGAGGCGAAGCTGTGCATCAAGCGCTGACGCCCTGGCTTTGGCAAGAAGGACATCATTGCTGACGTCAGGCGCGCCAGTCTCGCGGCAACACGCTCTGGGAAGTGGTAGAACTTTACTTCCCAGAGAAGCGTGAACGCCTTGCGCGAGGACGCTCCATGTGCCCACGCCATAGAAAAGCCTCGACAGCACACGGCACGGACACCTTTGACTCTGCAAAATTGTGCAGAGACGCCTTGGCGCGCCTTGCCCCTTTGCCAGCTAGCAGCACGATGCCTCAGTCTTTTCGCAGCCTTGGTCACCACAGCCGCCGTGTGGCGAACACTCGCCTTGCCGATTGAAAGGGCTTGCGCCAACTGAAGCAAAAGGTCGTCCGCTGACATCTGCGCAAGAAGCAGGCAGAAGTCATCGTGCTACGCTATGGGTCGACTGGTTGGGGGCCCCCGTCAACCAGACTGGCAGCTGTTCAGCCATCACATTGCAATTCCCTCTTCATTTCTGAAATGACTTCAGAAGCAAGCAGCGGTCGGCCTGGGCGACTTCCAGTCCAGTCGCGTGGCTTCAACAATTGCAGGGCGACTATGTGTCATTCCAAATCTCGGGTTGCAAGACTGATGGCTTTGCAGTGAAAATTCGCCCTGGCCCTTTCTCGCAAACATAGTGCCAGAAGGGCTTTCTCTTTCGCCCACAACAAGTGTCTGCTCAATGATATCTGGTGTCTGGATTTGCGATGCCACGCGCCACGAGCACTCTTTAGTTGTGTTGCTAACCCAGTCCAGCGTCACAAGGAATGGCGGCGGGATTGTTCCCTAAGGCTCTCGGTCTACTTTCAAGCCGAAATGCTTTCAGTTCTCCCTTGTCCAAAGGACCCAGAATAAAAGGGTAACCTTTTGGTTAAAAGTGGACCAAATCAGGGAAACAAACCGGTCTAAAGCTTGGCTTTGGGCAACTAAGAGTTGCCTCCTTCAAAAAAGACGAGCGGGTGGACAACTCTTTTCCCTTTTTGAACCAGAACATGGCCTCCAAAAAAGACGAGCCACCCACCCAAGGTCCTATGGTTGTCTGGGGTCTACGAGAGGACTGGACATGGTCTCAGAGTCTCAGTAGGAACCCTACAAGCCCCCGCCCAAAACCAAAATTATGAGTGGCTATTGGCCCGGAAACACAACCATAGGACAAGCGGGACGGGTCGAGTTCCTCTTCCAATGAAACAGGACAACCTGGAGTCTCCGTGACCCTTTAGACAATGTGGTCATGACCCCATTATTTTGGGTAGGACCAACCATTTTTCAGGGGTCAGAAGGAGACTCCAGGTAGGACAACAGCTGGAGACCTCTTCGACTCGTATCTCCTGCAGCGCTTTGGGTTCCTCGCGCTTGCTGGCGGAGCGGTCCCGGCGCTTCCGGCTGCGGCTCCGGCTCTTCCGCTTCCTCGGTGGCCGGACACATGGGATGCCAAGACTGGCAAAGGGATGCCTGAAGAGTTGTAGCTCTCACTTTTTGGCAAGCCCCAAAAGGTGATCACGTTTTTGTTCCTCTCAACTGAACATCAGGCACTTAGATGGCCCCGCACGGTGGCAACCCTTGCAACCCACTTACCAGTACCCTGGTAAGTAGGTGATACAGAGATAACCAGAGCTACTCAACATTTTGCCAGGTCCCAGCCAATCTAAGCAACCCTTAGTTGGTGCTTTGGAGGAGCGGCTTGGGAATTTGGAGGAGCCCCTTGGCCCATGTGATGTTTTGGCCCCAAAAGCTTAGCTTTAGGAAGTGGCTAGCAAGCCGATCGGCTATACCCCCCCGAACGGAGACTTATAACCCTGGCTTCTGTGGGTTATAAACTGGCTTACTAACCACTTGCTAAGCAGAATGCCCCGTTAAGTAAATACTGTTGACCTTATATTAATCAACCCCTGTTGTTCATAGGAGGGGGTCCCTGGGCTTAATAAAGCATCATCACTTGTGGAGGGGGGCAAGACCTCCTGTAGTTTGTGTTTTTTTTTGGGGGGGGGTTCCGCTACTTTTGAGACAAGCTCAACTATGAAACGTCTGCAATTTGCTTGGGTGATACCTTTATACTGTGGATGGCCGCAATCCCTTGCGCACCTTCCGGTACAAGATGAGCTGTGACTCATGAGAATTGTGCAAGGCTAACACCCCTTGCGTACATTACTTACGGGTGAGGTACTGTGGACGTTTGCGAAATCCGGTTCGTAGCACCGTTCAGAAACCCTGGAAGGATTGGATTCCCCAATGTAAATACCAACAAACCGTAGTTTCAACCATGGATTCCGAGTGGTGCGAAATGGATTTTGTCCATCCACAGCATGCCTTTGACCCCCAATTTGCTGGTGATTGACATGATCGCCACCTTTGGGGGTTCCCAAAAGCGAAATGGAGGAACCCCTGCCCATTGACTTCTGGTTCTGGAAAGATGGTTATAAGGTTTCATGCAACCTTCTGGTTCTCTTTCCAGATGGTTGTAGAACTGCATATAGGCCAAAAATGGTTAAACAGTTTCATATGGGCCGAACTGCAACCTTGATGAAAACCAGGTCTGCTCAGTTGGGTTGGGGCGGGTTGGGGTGGGGGTTTGTGGTGTAGGGCAAGGGTTCAGTAGATTTGCTGGCTTCACTAGTTCAAGGGGGTCTGGAAACAGGGAGTTTAGATCCAGGGGTGTGCTACTTACCTGGAAAAACACACACACACAAAACTCACAAAAAGTAGCATGTGTTGCCTTCCAGTGTACTTTGTCTCTCTTTATGTTGTTTTCTTTTTGTTGGAGGAGATGAATCGGGGCAAGCAGGAAGCCACTTGGCCCAAACCACCCTCCCCCTTTGTTGCTCTCGGATCTGCTGATGGTTTCGCCCAAACGTGCGAGCTGGATCCCATCTCAACTGGGTGACCCCACGACCAAGCTGGGCTGTTCAAACTCGAGGGGCCCATCTGATGTTCCATACTCCCAGGAAAAACCTGCTGCAAAGGGGACTCCTTAGGCAACCCAAGGGAAGAAATAAGGATTGGGGGCGCTGCATCCTGGGATCTCTGCAAGAGAACCCTTGCCGGGTGCTTTCTACAGGTGAGCCAACAGCCAAGCAAAGCAACCAGCCCGACCCCTCGCGTTGAGTCGCCAATTCTGTCGCCTGAAGCAAATGAAGGCATAGACCTGTTTCTTGAACAGATCGAAGCCCAGCCCATACCTGTCACATGACCCCCTAAAATATTCCAAATGGAGGTCCGAGCAAGCAACGGTTGATACCCGGTTTGGGGGGTCCTGGAGTCGCTTCACGAATATCGAAACTGGAATCTACCAGAGGGCCGGAACTTCAAGCAAAAACACGATCGACCCATTGTTCAAGCTCAAACAAGCAACGAACGTACATCATGGCAAAGGATTGAATATCAGAGTGTCTTGAGTCACATGACCACTCAAAACTCAAGACAAGCACCCCTTGTGAGGTTCAGGGACAAGGTTCCTGATATTTCCCTAGCATCACCAACCCAGTTTTTAAGTCACCTTGGTAGAAAACAAACCACTGCTTTTGGTGGACAATCTTTAGTGAGGCGAGCAGACCTCCAAAAATGATGACACTAAAAAGGGAAAGATGGAGCAAGAGGAAAAGAAAGGGACGAAGAAGACCTGTGTGTTCCTGTTTTTCCAACTTCTTTTCGTTCCATTGCCTCTTCGTCTGGGCCGAGAATGATTCTCCGACACTGGCCCGCAGGACTTGAAGACCGGAAGTATTGGCACCGAATAAGGCGACTCACGGAATCAACGGGTAACTTCACCAGTCAGCTTCCCTTCGATTGGTGGTTTGCTTTGGTGATGTTTGGACTTTATTCGCTAGCTTTTCCACTTTCAAATCCCAAACCGCCACTTCAAACCATCAATGAAGGGGAAGCAGAATTGGGGAATCCCTCTTTCCAGAAAACCACAACTCCCAGCAAATGGTTGGTCTTTCACACAGCTTCAAACAATTTGCTGGGGTTCCCCCGAAAAAACAAACAAGTAGTCTTCCAACCCGCCCAGTCGCTCACTTCCTAAGTGGATGGCACAAGCTAAAACAAACTGTTCATCTACCACTCAAAATGGTCCAAACTCAAAAAGCGGGAGTGCATAATGGTGTTTGCCTTGTCCTTTCTTGCAAAAAAAAAACAGATCCAACACGGATTCACTGATCCCCGGGCCCCCGCTAGCTGAGACCTGCCCTTATCATTTCTAATCTTCAGGTTCTCGGGCTGAGATCGTCGGCGAGTGGCAGCAGTCGGATGGTGCTGGTTAGGTTTGTCGTCCGGTTTATCACCCGCTATGAAATGGACACAGTCTCTCTCTATCTGGAGTCTCCGTGACCCTTTAAAAATGTCATGACCCCATCATTTGGGGTAATGACCCCATTATTAAGGGGTCATGGAGACTCCAGGTATACACCGTATTCAGAAAACTCTAGTTGGTTTCCTTACGTTCAGTCATAGAACCAAGGGCAAGGTCATGAGCAACCCATTCGATTTCCTCTAAGCAAGGCCAATGACACACCAGGACCATGCTGGCGTGCCTGAGACCCTACACCACTTTGGTACAAGAAGCCAAAACTGATCCAAGGGGATACATAACTAGAAAAGGGTTGTGGAGTGCTTTGGAACCAAATTGCACCATGACCAGAAAGGAATCATCTGTGTAAGTTCTATGCCTCACTTCCTGAGTGGACTGGCCAAAGACTGCAATTGTTGTGAAGCCCACCAAAACGGCAAGTGACCTGTAGTCCATGAAGTCATTTGGAGAGAGTAGCCCCCTATGCTCAAGCCAGAAGGCCCACTTGCGCATCAAGCGGCCGATCCTTCTCCCGGCTTCTTTCTCTTTCCTGGACTGCAGCTGCAGAGAACTCTGACAAGGATCTGGTGTGCAAAAATATGTCAAAATAGCGCCTGTTTGAAGCCAAAAAGAACCAGAGAACCCGAAAATGTCAAAATATGTCTCCAGAGAACCCGAAAATGGCGCCTGCTTTCCTTTTGGCTTCCCTTTGAGCCGTTTGAAGCCAACCCCAAAAAGGTATCCAACACAACAAACACCCATGAATGATGTACAAGTCCTGCGCTCACCCCAGAAGTTCCACTTGCCCAAAGGATCTAGAAATACAAAGTCAACATTTTGGGGCCAGGACAAAATATGGAACAACATGGAAAAACCGAAAGGTAACATGGTCGGTTTCGGACAACTGAGACTACAAGTCCTTTCCTTGCCTTATAAGTTGAAGGTCCTTTCAAAGAAGATTCCGTTCCCACAAAGATGCCTTTTGACTTCCTTCTAGTCCAGAAGCAAGAACGCGCTATCGTTCCGCAGATCTGCTGCCCTTGCGACAAAAGGCACCTGCTCGTGGGATCCCGAAATTCCCGCCTGAACCCGCTCTTCATTGCTCGGAAAAGATAAGACGAGGGCGTACTGTTGACCCAGGATCTAAGTAGAACCCGTCCCACTCTTAGGGGGGTGTTCCCTCCAAAAGTGGTCCGAATCCAACCACTAAAAGGGGACACCCCCCTATTAATCAACCGTTTATTAATCCGGGGTTAACAGTAAGGCCTATTTGGAGTCCACGCTGGTTAGGATCCTGGAACAGCGATGCTCAATCCAGGAAGCTTCCAAACAGCTTCCTGACAAGCAACGAGGCACCTTCAAACTCTGGTCGCACTCTGCACCGATTCTCACTTACTGAGTGCGTTGGCCGAACATGTCCAGAGTCCAGACTTGTTGTTTGCCCCCAATTACAATGCTCTTCCCAGAAATCATCAAGTCCAGGAACTCAGAGGGCAGCTTGGCATGTTGCTTTTGTTGCCTGCTAACAGCAACATGCACAGCGAGCGGTGTCACACTGAAATGAGGGCCCTTACTACCCTGAAAGCCAGTTTATTTTCAGCGGCGGTGTTGGGCAAGCTACCTTGGGTACCTCATTTTATTTGGGTCCAGGGTGATGCTTACTGGCAATTTTGGCGGGTTGCTCCTGACCATGGGCCGCATGCAAAATATGCTGCATGGACTTTCCGTGAGGTTGGGCCCCCATGTTGTTTAGCTGTGAGACACCGATTTTATTTAGCTGTGAGTGACCCATTTGATGTTGCATTCGTGCCCACCATTGCTGTGAAGCATTGAGCATCGTTAAATCAGGGATCCTTACATTCTACACCTGAACATTGCCTTGTAAATGGTGGTTTCCCTTGATTTTGGTGGATATAGCCATGTTTCAAATGGGCAAAATGTATCTTTTAAGGAGCCCTGTCAAAAGGAACGAATTCAAGCGGCGCTCTGCCGTCGAAAAGGACCGTGGGAACAAAGTGCAAAACCAATCTTCCGTTCTCCTCCTGCACGGACTTGTCTTCAAGGGCCAGCACTGGATCCGGCAAGCTGTGCTTGTGGAAGTCGCTCACTGGTACCTTCCCTGACTTACAACTCAAACCAAATTGGCGCATCAGCTTTGCGTTTCCTCCCGCCATGGAAAGAAGAAGACTTGCTTGCGCCAAGCACCAGGTTGGCCTCTTCCGTCGCGGATGGTTTCTTCATCCGTCGGAATGCCCGTGTCCAAGCAAGCGAATGCTAAGATGCTTCGCTCTGCCCCAAGTCCCAGCTCTGAAGCTTGAGGTCCGATGCTGGAACCCGTTCCCGTGCTGTCGAACATGATAAGTCAATGTTTCCCCCAGAAAAGCTTCAAGTCTTAACGTTTGCCCCTCCCGCATCCAAACCGGTTCCTCGATTTTCAACCCGGGTGAATATGAGCATTATAAAATAGTATGCTTTCTCTTGGAGCGACGATCGGTTGCTGATCAGCATGCTGTAGGATTAAGGTGCATAAACGGCTGGAGGACTTTGTAACGTAGCTGCGGGGGGTCATTTTGGGCAACTACACAGCCAAACAGCTAAAATCCATGAAATCAAAAAGGCATCCGTTTTGGGACCACTGCAAGCGTCCATTTGGGCTTCATAAGAACATAACCTTGCAAAGCTACAGGCTACCATTCCATTTTGGGACCAAACAAGAGGCATTTAGCAAAGGGGGTGTAGGGATTTAAGTCGGGGCTCTGGTGCTTAGCTTGGTGGGTTGGATTCCTACTCATTTCATTGCAGCTGCATCTATCTTATTCCCGCCACGGGCTAACCTTTGGGAGCGTCCGATTGGGAAATCGGTAAACTTAGGCTTCTGCACATTTATCTACTTAAAATGGGGTCCTGCCGTGCCTTAGATTTCAAGGGGGATGATGCCTATGCTCAAAGGTGGGGCAGGTCAATTTGTTTAAAGAATGGGTGGGGGACGCATGGGTATGAATTTGGATGCGGGACCCTTGGTGGACATCAAAATGAGCGTCCACCAACCAGTTGAGCTCAGTGGTCCCTCTTAAACCTCCTAGCCAAATGGGTTCAGGACACATTGCTCCAAAGAACTCGTCACATTCACGAATTCTGCTAGGTCCTCCAGGAGAGAGGAGTAAGAATAAGGGTACCAACTCTTTCTGTAGTCTATTTTAGTACGGGAACCCTCCCCCAAACAAGGGTAAAAGGGCACTACTGGGACGTCTGGCAAAGAGAGGGTAACAGAAACCTAGTACAGCACCACCCCTCACTGCTTTTTGGACAGCGCACCGAGGCGAGAGGAGCAACTCTGCATCTGGAATTCAAACCATCTCCCAGCCAATTCGCGGGGAGAGCCGGACGCGCGCCTTCTTCTTATCCCTGCCCGGGAGACCCCGCGCGAACATGCGGCGAGTAAAGTAGACAAGGGGTAAGGTCTTGAAACAGTTCAAGGGCTGTTCCAGGGATGGTGTTTGGAGGATTGAGCGTGCACCGCTTGTGTATAAGGACACAACAGGCATATGCTGCCTGCAAAAGTTCATATATATATATATATATACATATATATATATATATATATATGTACAAGCATCAATACTGGGGGTGGACGAAATCCAGTTGGGATGCGTGAAAATCTATGAATACAGGGAGAACCGCCTGCCATCCACAGTACCTCCGAAAGCCACTCTCCTGCCTTTGACAAGTCAATCTATGAAAACGGATGGCAGCACCACACCTTCACTCCAAAGGGTCGCAGCACCGGGGACTCCATGGCCTTAACCTCTTGCAGTGGATAGTTCCTGATTTTGTCCATCCGCAGTAGCTTCATTCCCCAACCGGTCGAACTGCAGTCCGGGCTCGAGCTTGCCAATCTCTAAGCAAGCCTTGCTAAAGGGAACCTCCTCCACCCAATGCTTTGCTTGTTTGGAGTATAGGAGCAACCTCCGACTGGTTTCCGGCGGCATCTACAAACACGCAAGCATGTGTGTGTGCGTGCGCGTGTCTCCAAATAGGAACCCCCATGCTGGTTTCTCTGGGCTTCCTTTGAGCCAACTTCAATGGAGGTAGTGTGTCAAAACAACACGACACGCGGTTGGGGATGATCTACTGACACGGTCATCACGAACGGCCATGAATTCAGACCGGTTGAACCCCTTGCAAAGTGGTTGGTGGACATGAACCTGGAGTCGCCATGACCCCTAAAAAATGGGGGCATTGCCCAAAGTCATGGGGTCATGTCCCAATTTTTAAGGGGTCACGGAGATTTCAGGAAACTCCGAATCTTCATGTCCACGAGAGCATCCCGAATAAAACATTTCGTGCCTACCAGGCTGGCAGAGAAACGCAAACGGTCCCACTACCAGAACAGCTCGAAGCTGAAAGAAAGCCTCAAGACCATGGCCTCTAGGTTCCATGCTTGCTTTTGGGGGAGTACGATTTCGGCATTTCGGCGGTTTGGTCATTGGTTTCGATTCGAGCAGTGCGCGGCGCGTTTTTCTCCTCGTGAAAACCAAGGGCGCGGAAAACAAAGGCTAAACATGTGGAAGGGAAATTGTTAGTAAAAAGGGCCGCTAAGCAGCTAGCAGGCGGTTGAAGCACATGAAGCACCATTCGTCGCCGTTGTCCAATGATGGGATACGTGCTTTGCACCTGTGACTTCCTGTGCAGCTGCAAAACTACACCCCGAGCAAACATGTATGGGGGCTGCCTGGAAGATCATCTGCCACTTCAATGGATCCCCTGTCAGGTTCCCTCTTAGTGGGGTAGATATTGATGTGCAAGGCAAGCGAGTCATACAAACCATTCCAAGGCAAGTGCAAGGCACGCAAATGCTTGTCTGCACAGAATACCTTGCGTTCCACACGGCTGGCAACTTGCTGGGTTGCTGGGGGGGTTTGCCCGGATTTTCATGCTGCCCCGCACATGCCGATCCTCAGCGTGTTTGCGGCTGTCGAGGGAGGTGCATGTCGAGGCCAACCTGTGTTTCAAACCAGTCGATCCCGACCCCCCAGCCCCACACGCCATGTGACTTCTCCGCTATCTGCGCGGCCTACACGACTGTGCCACGCTGCCGCGTTGCGGCAGGTGGTTTTACCCACCTTGGGCTCTTCTTGCGTTTGAAGGAGCTACCTTTCCTAATGCTGGTCTTTGTCACCGCCGCGCTCTCAGTACAAGCAGGAACGGAAGTTCTGCCATCAAGTTATCAGCGCAGCTCATGACTTGTTTGCTTCGCATATATTCCAGGCAGCCAGCCCTGGCAGCTGCATGAAAGTGTTGATGGTATTCTGAAGGTCTCTCACTAAGAGAGTCAAGCCACAGTGCTGGAGCCTGCTTCGAGCAAATGAGAATGCTGCGCCTGCCAGTACCGCGTATTCGAATCAGTTGGACATTTGCAGACTCTCCTGTGACCCCACCGACGCCACGATTCATTGCTATTCGCATGGGATTTGCACAATTCTCAACCCACGTCCAAGAGTGACCGTCGTTCGGTCCGGGCAACCTCCCCCCCCCCCCGGCAACCCAACATGTTGGCTGTGCCTCAGTCATCTCACACATCTCAAACGATCTCAAACGTATTTGCTGTAGAATGCCCGATATTTCCCAGCACTGACAAGATGACAAACAACACACGACAAAGAAACGTTACGAAATACAACGACGCGTGCGGGAATCTGTGCCCAAATGGAGACACCATGGGAATGGGGAACTCCCAAACTACCCCGGCAGCAGAGTGTCATATGGAGCGGTTAGGTGATATTGATAGATTAAGCTTTTGGGGAGCTTATACCAAAATTGGGCTTAATATAGAAGGTTGGTTTCCATCTGGGAGGCTCCGAAAATGGCGAACCCCCTTTTGGTTGGTTGTAAAAGCTGAAAGGAACCAGTTGCCATTTGTTGGGGACCCATGCCTATTTGAGAAACACCCAAAGCAAAGGTTAGACAAAAAAAGGGAATGTTTGGTGGGCATCACAATGTGTGGACAATTCGGTGGGGATTTGTGTCCACCATTTTTCACTTCCTGAGTGGATTGGCCAGAACAAGCAGCCAAACTGGCTTCTTGCCGCTAAAATGGCAACCAAGCCCCAAAAGTGACTCAGTCCTTCCGAGGAACTGAAGCAGCGAGAACTATTCTGGGCTGTCCGTTTTCAGATCCCCTGCCAAAAGGGATCTAGCTTTTTGTGGCTTGGATGGACACCCAGCCACTAAATCAACTAGAAACCTCAAACCAACTTCCATTTGGTTAAGACCCCCGCAAAAAAGAAGAAGAAAAAACACAGTAGCGATAAATTCCTTTTAAAACCAACAAGGGAAAATAATAACTAGACCACGGTTGGCCCGAAAGCAGAACATCGCAAGCGAGGTCGGCCCAACGCTGCAGGATGCGTTCTTTTTCCCTACGCGAAGCATTCGTGAAGCAAGCGCGAGACAGCACCAGGCAAGGTGCTCTGCGCAAACTGGTCGGTGCAAGTTGGTCTGCGCAAGTTGCTCTACGCAAGTTGCACTGTGCAAGTTGCTCTGCGCAAGTTGCTCCGCGCAAGTTGCTCCGGCAAGTTGGTCCCTGCAAGTGGCTCCCTGCAAGTTGCTCTGTGCAAATTGCGCTCCCTGCAAGTTGCTCTGTGCAAGCTGCTCTGTGCAAGTTGCTCTGTGCAAGTTGCTCTGCGTAAGTTGCTCTGCGCAAGTTGCTCTAGGCAAGGCGCTCTGCGCAAACTGGTCGGTGCAAGTTGGTCTGCGCAAGTTGCTCTGTGCAACTTGCTCTGCGCAAGTTGCTCTGCGCAAGTTGCTTTAAAAAATGCAAGTTGCATCTTGCGACGACCGCCCGCGGACCAGGGAGGAATCGAACCCGCGACCCGCCGGTTCCGGGAGCAGGCGCGCGAACCACGAGACAACTCCCGAGGACCAGTTCGAACAACACAAGTCGCAAAAAACCTCGAGTTTTTGCACCTTGCCCACGCCGATTCCCGCAGAGGGTTGCGCGAGCACCGCAAAAAACCTCGAGTTTTTGCACCTCGACCACGCCGATCCCCGCAGAGGGTTGCGCGGGCACCGCAGAAATCGCAAAAAAAAACATGGGTTTTTGCACCTCGACCACGCCGATCCCCGCAGAGGGTCGCGCGGGCATGTTGGAAATCGCAAAAAACCATGGGTTTTTGCACCTCGACCACGCCGATCCCCGCAGAGGGTCGCGCGGGCATGTTGGAAATCGGAAAAAACCATGGGTTTTTGCACCTCGACCACGCCGATCCCCGCAGAGGGTCGCGCGAGCAAGAAATCGCAAAAAACCATGGGTTTTTGCACCTCGACCACGCCGATCCCCGCAGAGGGTCGCGCGGGAACTTTAGAAATCGCAAAAAACCATGGGTTTTTGCACCTCGACCACGCCGATCCCCGCAGAGGGTCGATTTTCGTGTAGTGTCGTCGGCACTACCCCGCCGCCCTAAGAAGAGATTTTAACTCCTCGCAAGTCAATTGCACTTGACTCCTTGCACTTGCAACTTGCACTCGACTCCTTACACTTGCAACTTGCACTTGACTCCATGCACTTGCAACTTGCACCTGCTCCTTGCACTTGCAACTTGCACTTGACTTCCATGCGCAGCTAGCAATGACTCTCATGACTCCTTGCGAGGACTCCTTGCAATGACTCCTTGCAATGACTCCTTGCAATGACTCCTTGCAATGACTCCTTGCAATGACTCCTTGCAATGACTCCTTGCAATGACTCCTTGCAATGACTCCTTGCAATGACTCCTTGCAATGACTCCTTGCAATGACTCCTTGCAATGACTCCTTGCAATGACTCCTTGCAATGACTCCTTGCAATGACTCCTTGCAATGACTCCTTGCAATGACTCCTTGCAATGACTCCTTGCAATGACTCCTTGCCTCCTTGCAATGACTCCTTGCAATGAATGACTCCTTGCAATGACTCCTTGCAATGACTCCTTGCAATGACTCCTTGCAATGACTCCTTGCAATGACTCCTTGCAATGACTCCTTGAATGATTCCTTGCAATGACTCCTTGCAATGACTCCTTGTGAATGACTCTCATGAGAACAACTCAAGTGAACCCAGCGGAAGAACCCTTCGTCATGCTTTCGGGAAAAATAATATTGTTCAAATAATAATAAGAAGAAAACACTTAAGCGAATGGAAGCTATTAAAACGGACGGCTGGGAACCAAACTTCGGGCAATTTCAGCCGGAGTCCCTCACGCCTATCTCGCTCGGAGCGGTCATCGTTCCTGCGGGGCACCTCAGGAGAAGTGAACTCGTTGCACAAACAGCGCTCCCCCAACCACCCCGGGTGCCCCCAGAAAGGCAAGAAGATTCTGTTTCGTATTTACACCAAATATCAAATAGTTCTGGGGGAGACTTCAGTGTTGGAAGAATTGTTGTTGAGGAAAGGGGAGAAGACAAAGACTTATCTAGGTCCTCCAGTACAAAGGAGTTGGAATAAGGGTACCAACTTTTTTCTGTAGTCTATTTTAGTAGGGGAACCCTCCCCCACAAACGGGTAAAAGGGCACCTAGCTGGGGGACCTAGGTATTTTCGGATTCTGCTTTATATTTACCCCAAGGTATCACATAATTTTAGAAGAGACTCCAGTTTTGGAAGACCGTGGTTTAAACAGGGAGGTTGGCCTGAAAAGTTCCAAACCCTCGAATTGTCATACCGAAACCTCAAGCGATTAAAGTCGAAATCCCCGTAAGCCCTTACAGCCCTAGAACCTCAAGCCAACCCTGGATAGAACATCAGGGGCTGAATCATGATACAGGTCATCTTGACTCGGGATTTAAAAATACCCGCACAGTCTACTCTTCTGATGGCTATTACCGTTTGCCCAAAAGGCAAATTTTCGTCACGTCATTGGGAAAGCCATGGCCCAATAGCATTCAAGTGATTCCCGCTCTCTCTCTCTCTCTCTCGCACGGCGAGCGCAAAATCAAAATAAGTCCAGAGGGTATCCCCAACAGCACGGGAACCCGCCCACCCTCCCTCCGAACCATCGAAGGGCTCAATTCGACCCTGCCAGCTAGGAAGCCGCCCAAACCTCAAGCCAACGCTGAACTCAGAAATGGATAATAGGTGATCACCTTTGGGCGCCTTGACTCTGGACATGTGAAAACCAAAAGGTCGACAGGTCGCGTTTGGACAACTCAGTGAACTTCTTCCGGAACATTCCCTAGGTCCTCCCGCAGACAGGAGTTAGAATAAGGGTACCATTTGTTTTTGTCCATTTTAGTAAGGGACCCTCCTCCAAAAAAGTTGGTAACAGGGCACCTAGCTGGGGGACCTACCTAGAGTCTCCATGACCCTTTAAAAATGGGTCATGACCCCATGATTTTGGGTGATGACCCCAATTTAAAGGGGTCATGGAGACTCCAGGTAGGTGAACTTCTTCCGGGACCCGAAAACGCTCACTAGGTCCTCCAGTAGAGAGGAGTTAGAATAAGGATACCCTTTCTTCTGTAGTCTATTTTAGTAGGGGAACCCTCCCAGGGGTTAAGAAGGGCACTACTGGGTGACCTAGTGCCGGAACCGAAAACGCCCAAAGCCTCTTCCGCTCTTCTCAGCCGCGGCCGAGGCGCCCGATCCATCATCAGCGCGCGAGAGCCGCCGCCGTCGAGATCCCGGCGCCCGCCCTTGCCCTTGCCACCGCGCTCATCCCGGCCCTGGGAGAAGGGCCAAGCCGTTGCCCCAAGAACCGACCCCAAACACACCTGAGGCCTTTGTGTCTTATAGGAGACTTCTGGAACACATGTTTGGAGGATTTGGGACCCAAACCAATTTGTGTTTGTTTGTGTTGTTTTGGTTTTTGACTAGGATAAGGACCCTCCAAATAGGTTGCTCTCTGCTCCCCAAGCAGAACAGTTTAACTTTTAGTGGCTTGGTGGAAAACCCAGTAGCTGGCAAAAAGTTAAAGTCCTCACATCCAAGCAAAATGCACCAAAGCGAAGATTTGGTTTTTGAAATAGGATAAGGAACCCTCCGCATAGGTGGTTTCCTTTTGGTTTCCCTCTCAACCACAAAAAGGGTCATCAGGAAATGTTGTGATTTCCATCATACTAGAGGGAACCTGGTTTTCCTTGTGATTTCCTATACCCCCCGTCACCAATGCCCGGCATTCTTCAGGGTAATTCTATGTCTCCTGGAGATATGTACCATGGATATACCCTGCAAAATGTTGGTATTTGAAGCAGGGAGATCCTTCAATTCAGGTTGGTGAATTCTACGAATTCGCGCAGATCCCATGGAAAATTTGCATTCTTGATTCGACAGGGGCATGATGGCCCCGAACTCAACCATCCCTTGTGGTTTCCTCAGGAATCGATGGTTTGTTCCCAACAGCCGTTCCCCGACCAACAAAACAAAGGCGGATTCCCGTTTCAACCCAACGGATCCGTGTAGGTACTGGACCTGGCAATTCGGGTTCCATAGCACTGATCCGATCGTGTTTGTCGCACCCGATTTCGGAACCGATCTGTGAGAATCCATGTACGGGTCGCCGAACTTGCTTGTGCTAAACTCTCTGAGGGGCCGAGAACCCCCAACAATTTGGCAGCGTGTGGTTCAGCCGAAATCTCCATGGTCAACAAGGGAAACTCACGATCGCAGGAGCTGTCCTTGGGCCAGATGTCCTCATTGGGACTAAGTTCTGGAAAGACCAAACCAAATACTAAGCAGTAAGCGGATGCGGCTAAAGAGGTGTCGAGAAAGTGCGGTCAAAACATAATTTGCACGGGTATTTCGTTCTGGGAAGACCAAACCAAATCCTTCGCAATCGGATGCCTGTAAAAAGGTGTCGAGTAAGTACGGTCAAAACATACAATTTGCACGGAACGATAGTTTTGAAAGCACGCAAGCTGGAGGTGAGCAATGGCTCTAAGCAACCTTCACCAAGGACCCTACCAAGATGTGCGGAAATAAGACTTAGAACGGAATGCGAGTCAAGTCGCACATCAACAGGGTGAAACGTCACCCCATGCCCTCAGCTACTTTACAGAACCTGACCCCCCAAAACGTATTTTTCAGAAGGGTTGCCTCTGACGTCGAAGGATCTTCGGGGCAAACCCAGCAGACTGGTTCTATTCAAAATGATAATTCTATCCAACCCCAGGTCTCGAACGAGCTGATGAAGATGGGCTTGTTTTGTATTATTATTATTATTATTATTATTATTATTATTATTATTATTATTTTGCTTTCTTTGGTTCTTTGGCTTTTAGCCGCTCCAGCCCTGAAAACCAAAAAACAAAGCCCATTGATTACGCTCTCTTCCACTAACATGGAACCTGAAGGGAGGCCACTGAAAGAGCAGCGAGACCTGGTTGGGAAGGTCATACTCTCAGGCGGCGGCGCCACCGCCGCCACCGCCGCCGCCGCGCATCTGAGCCCGCATCAGGTCACGCGACCTCGAGGTGTTCAGGTCACTTGGCAATTCGCAGGCGAGTTGGTGGAAAGAACCGGTGGGTCGTTTCCTCAAAAGGAAATGTCCCCCAAGAACACGAAGGAGTTGGTTGGGCTCCTTCAGTTCATCCGTCGAAGCAAAAATATATTCAGGTAAGCCGTCTGTTCGCATTGTTTTCACCCTCCTGTTTCTCCGAACAGACGTAGGTCTTGGAACCCATGCGAACTGGTTTGGTTTTGACCCACTGCAAAAAGTCAACGTGCCTGCAAGTAAACTGGGACTTTAAGGAGCAAACAAAACACAAACACAAACACGAACACAAACACAAACACAAACACAAGCACAAACACGAACACCAACACAAACACAAACACAACCAAAACCACAACCACAACCACAAACACAAACACGAACACGAACACAAACACAAACACAAACACGAAGACAAACACAAACACAAACAACACACAAGCACAAGCACAAGCACACGCACACGCACACGCACAAGCACAAGCACAAGCACAAGCACAAGCACCAACACACACAAAGACAAAGACAAAGACAAAGACAAAGACAAAGACAAACACAAACACCCACACACACACACACACACAAACACACACACACACACAGAAACACACACACACACACAGTTTTTGCATTGTACCATTCTCAACTTATTCACCTTTTTCTGCAGGTTTGCTGGGAAAGGTAAAGCCTCTCACCTTCTACTCCTGGAAGCAGCAATAATCTATCAAATGACATGGTTTCGTTCTACATTCCCGTGCGGATGAGTGTCTGCGTAAGGCACATCTTTGCGGGGACTCCTTTGTTGGATTCCACGCTAGTGGGGGGGGCAACGGTGGAATTCCCACAGACAACATAAGCAAGTTGTCAACATTTGCTTGCAGCTTGTGAACAAAAAGAGGTGTGACTAGTTCGTAATGAAAGGGTATCGTGGTCAACACCCTCGGCATCACCAGAATCTTTTGGCTTAGGCCCAGTTTAGGGTGGCCTTCAAGGTTCGGAAGGGTTTCGGCGGGCTTTTGTTTGTGGTACGGTTGGTTTCGTGGTTCAAGGTGGGTTCAGGGTTGGAGTTCGGGTGGTACGTTTGGCTTCCCTCTTGGACACCGCCTTGCCATCCTCGGGCAGTGCGGCCTGTGTGCACAACATCTGCGCTGCGTCGAGCTGGAAAACGGTGGCCTGCACTTGACACCGCAACCAGGTCCAAAGCTCCCATCACCAGTGGTTGACCTAACGTCATCTCTCCCCGCAGCGGGAGCATTTTACACCTACGGCTCTCCTCCAAGCCCTGACAGTTACAGCTGCGTGGAGCCAACAGCCAAAGCGGTCTTTCCCTCTGCAGCATCTTAAGGCGCTTGTTGGCGAACTTCTGCGTGCAAAGCTCTTGGGCCAGGTCCTGGTCACCCAGAACGTGGTACACGTTGACTTCTTTAGCCTTCTCCTGAATTGCGCTACAGCGGTGCTCTTCTTACAAGAAGCAAATACCGAAACAAACACCCCATTCAGAAGTGCAACTCTTACAGGCTTCCATTTGGAGTAGCGGGTACGCCCTACTCCAAATCCCAACTTTTGTTCAGGGTATTGCTGGGAAAACCGGGTTGTCCATTGTAGATGCCTCCTTTTTTAGTAAAGGGTCGAAAAAAAAACAAAAAAACAAAAAAAACAACCAAAACCAGGAGGAACTGTGGAGCTTGCGGTGGGGAAAGACCCCTGGCTGCGACGGTTCTCGGCTTCCCCGGCGTCATGAGATTGCTGCCCCGCGCTTCGAAGTCTCGGCTGTCCTGTGTCCTGGCACCGAACCGAAACGAAACGCACACCGGGCTGGCGAAACGGGGCAGCAGCCTGCGGCAAAAGGTCGCACCAAACAAAAACACCAAAAAACATGGAAGCTGCGCAGGAAACGAGGTTACCCATATGGCCATGGGCTTTTCAAAACCTAAATCGGTTAGCCTGCAGTGAGCATCCGAGTCAATCCAACCACTAAAATAGGTTCTAAAATGGGTGGTGTACCTATCCCAAAATGGTAACATTGGTATCCATTGTATACCGTTTGAAGCGGTTTAAGGGGACCGGTTCCTGTGCATGGTTCCATGTTTGTTTTTGGGAGGGTAGACCTTTTAAAAGGCTTAATGAACAATAACATATTTGTCCACAAGGTCTAAGAGCTACGCTCACACCGAAGACCGATTCGTCATGTTTAATGGCGCTCAAGCTGGGTCCGGTCACGTAGGGGAGGAGCTGTTGGTGGCTTAAGCAGACTTAAGCAAAATGATGGGGAACCCCTGGAAGGGGTTGGAAGACTACTTTCATTGTCGGGAAGTCCTCCCTCTACATGGTTTGAAGGGAAATCGCCGTAACCCAAAAGTAAGTTAAAGGTCCCTACATGGAAGACGGCTTTCCTTTTGGGGAAGCCTCCTCTTTCTAGAAAACGGTTTGGATGCTTGTTTGCCAAATGTCACCTGCTCTTCCCCCCGTTGACCATTTTAGCTAGCGTTTAGTATTCGCTTGATATCCTAGAGGGGTAAATCCACTGCCACGTCCAAACCGTTCTCTGGACCCTTGCATTGATAACTTTTTCCCCCATTCCCACAATCCGAATCTTTTCAGAAAACCATCAACACCTAGCAGGAAACTGCTAAAAGTAGGATGGCTGAGTCGTCGCAATCAACCATTCGAGTCGTCCACTCAGCCCAGTGGCCAAATCACCGAGCTGAGCTGCTGGGCTTTAAGGGCAGGCTGGTCATTCATCTGGGTAAATTACTACACCCAAAAGAAGGGGATTCCCAACGAGGTCGCAAGGTTCCATGAGCTGAGTTTGTTTCCAGATAGCTGGGAGGGAAAAAAGGGGGCCCAGTACCAATTCTTCCACTTGCTCAAGCCCCCTGGAAAAAATGAAACTATGTCCAGTAATGATAGATTCCCTTAACACCAACAAGGGACCAATATTCATTTCAGCAAATGAAAATCATGTTCTGGAAAAGCCCGGAAAAGAAATACATCGGCGACCGGCAGGCGCAAAAGGTGGATCACCTTTTGTATATACTGGAGAGAAACCATTCGTTTTCAACCGGTCCGAGGCGATTGGGCCAAAAAAAACATGTCAAAAGTATGTGCGGCTCATCTGTTCTTTCTCGAGTTGGCACCCTTTGTTTTGGTGGGTTTTTAAGTTTGAAACCACCGGGAAAACCGTGTTTTTTTGTGGGACAATCCGGCAAAAGACGAGCCATATGGGGAAGCCACCAGGAAAACCACCCGTTTGTTGAGGGGGTCCGATTCCTACAAGAAGACGAGTCACCCACAGCGGGCACTTCCTCGCCTCGCAGGCGCCATACGCCACTCCGCCCTCAAGGCGACCCCATCCTGAACAGTTGCCGGTGCCGTTTGGCCCAAAGGAAGCCAAAAGCATAAAAGACAACAATCACACACATCATATATATTAATTATATATATTTGTATATATCGAGAATTTATTCCTCCAGATTCTAGATTTATCATCACTAAAGGCACCAAAACCAGGGTCCTTGGAGGAGGAAGGTTGTGTATATATATATATATATATGTATATATATACACACTAAAACAACCTCCTAGGCAACTACATACTGATCAGTGCTACATATTGTATGGGTCTGTCTCAAAATAGGGGGACCTCTTTTTTCGACTGGGTCTGGTTCCCACCCTAAGGATAAAGAGTCTTCAACTCATAAGCCCAAGTGACCTCCCCAACAACCTGGGACCCCCCAGGAACCCTGCAAAACCACCCTGATCGCTTATTTGGGCCTATCAACCCCATAGCTTTCAGGGGAAAAAGATCTGAACTTCTAACATTGTGAACCCCCCCCAAAACCAAAACAAAAAACGCCAGGACCTCAGGGAGTGAGTCTTCAACTCAAAAAGAAACCTCCGGCAACAAAGTCTGAACTTCTGTTTGACTAAAATGTCGACTCCCCCAAAAAAAAAATCCCAGGGCCTCAACCAAAGAAAGGCAGATGCTCCAAACCACGAGCTCCACCCTCCGCCAAGGGCCTCAGCCTCCCAGGGCTCCAAACCCCGAAGCGACCAACGCGACTCCGAATTCGGGCGACTTTCCCGAAGGCCCGGGCGAGGAAGAGCTGCCCGGCTTGCGAGGCCTCCCAGGCGGCCTCCGGGAGAGACAAGCGTCGCTTGGCGAGTCTTAGACAACACACCGACCCGACTGTGGGGTGAGCTGCGTGCTGTTTTTCCTCTTTTTCATGTTTTTTTTTTTCCTTTTTTTTTTTCTGGGTAGTTTGAGGGTCCAGGTACCTAAATGTGAGTTGCCCCAGGTCCAGGTACCTGAGTGTCTCGTTTGTTGAAGGTACCTGGGCCCTCAAAACAGCCTAAAAATGGGAGCAGCTGCGCCAAGATTATGGGCCCCGTGGGGTGAATTCCTTTTTGGATGGTCCAGGTGCTCGAGTGTGTCAAATATTTTTTGAGGGCCCTTTTAAAACCCGACCAACTGGTCCAAACCCCAAAAACGACGCAAGTCCAAAACGGAACTCAGGTGAGCAAAAAGGGTGACCGATGAATCTTGGGTATGTGACTAGGTCCTCCAGATTTGAGAGGTTAGAATACGGGTGCCGTTTCTTTTTCTTTTTTTTCTGTGGTCTATTTTACTAGGGCAACCGAATCTCCCCAAAAAAAGGTAAAAGGGCACTACTGGGGGACCTAGGTCACCAATGTTGAAAGGCAAACTTACCTCTTTTGGACAAACCAACCAGCGGGGATACGGAGGGAGCGGGGAGATGGGGGGATTCCCTTGGCGCCATTGCCCACAAACTTAGGTGCATTTAGGGGGAATCCTCCCGTATCCCTGGGTTCCCCGCAGTATCCCTCAGGGATCCTTACATTATACACCTGAACATTGCCTTGTCAATGGTGCTTTCCCTGTATTCTGGTGGAAAAAAAACCATGTGTCAAATAGGCAAAATGTATCTTTTCAGGAGCCCTGTTCCTGCTAGTTGGTTTCCCTGACTCCTACACCCAATACCCTCGTTAACGATCAGGCTGTGATAGGGTATGTGACGCAGCCCACGACGGCAGCGCTGAGGGCAAAGCCGACGGAGGGTGTTCCCTATAGAAATTCATGTTGCCAGCCGAAAAAGATACCTGAGGCCACTTGCAAACATCACCTCACCGGGATGCTGAATGCTAAATTTGGATTTGGAGGAGGAGCCTAGTCGTAGGAACCCCTCTGACTCAAACAAATTTCCTGCCAAAGCAGAGCCACCCCTGATTAGGGGGAGCCAACAGTCGGTCCTTCCTACAAATCCGAGCTCAAAGCAAAGAGCCTTTCGGCGCAGACCAAGAAAAACGACATGGCAATGCCTCAGTTTGGAAAGTCGCACGTCACTCCTTTGGAACTGGATTGAATCTCTACACTCGCAAGGAAGATGGGAATAGCACGGCTTTTAACATGCCATGGGTCAAAACTCCGTACTCCCACTCCCCGCTAAAATAGGTTCTAAAATGGGTGGTGCACCTGTCCCAAAATGGGATCCCATTGGTTTTGACCCACAGGCATTTATTGTCTCATTGGCATACCTTCTAGTCCATCCAATTATGCACTCGTTTCAGGGCATGTCAACGCCTGATTCAAGAAGGAGGTATTCACCATGCAAAAAATATGGTGGTGCTCATGCCATACCCTCAACAAGCGGGCACTTTTTTTGGAACTAGTATACTCACTCCTGAGTGGATTGACCAATAGAAAGTCCGAAGCATTTGGTTACCACTAAATTGGTCCTAAAAACAGCGCGGAAGTGAGTATGCACTTACCCCCAATACCTGAAATAGCGTCATGGGTTGACCCGAATGATCAAATGCCTGAAAAATCCGCAAAGGATATCCGGAGCTTTCGGGGGTCTGTGCTGACTCGCGAACATTTGGAGGTCACTGGCTGTGGCTCAGAAACACGTACAAAAACAAAGCCGAAAACCCGAGGTAACTCTACCCGGAGTCTCCGTGACCCTTTAAACGTGGGGTCATGACCCCATTGATTTGGGGTGATGACCCACCATTTTTTAAGGGGCTCTGACTCCCGGTAGCTCTTCTTACCCCTTAAAACTCCAAGCCCTGGGGAAGTTAATCTTTTACAGACAAATAGCCCATGTTACCCAAAAAGTTGTAAGAGGTAGCTCTTTCCTTTTCAGCCCACCCAAATCCCGAGTTCAATTCGCCCCACGCGGCCTGGGCTGCCTTGGTGGTGCCGAACTTGACGTACCTGGGAGGCGGGAGGGGGACGGGTGTCTCAAGCTTGCCCGACCACCCCTCGCCCCCCCCGTTGTGCCCGTTGTGTGTTGTTTGGTTTGGACCGTTTCCTTTTCGGCTCTGCTTTTTTATAGCAAACAAGCGGATCCAAAGCCACATGTGCGGGGTTCCGAAACCCACATTGTTCTTTTAAAGGAGAACATCTTGGCGACCCCGAAATGAACACAATGCAGGGTCCGTTCTGCAAGCTAAACGTGCGAGTAGGGATCGCCGAGTTTGGAATCTGTCCTTCCCCTTTCTCGGATTCTATCTACCTGGGCATCACATTTGTTTAGGGAATCCCCCCTTCCTTATTCAGGGTTTTTATCTAGTCTTCCCCACAAAAGGGGAAATGGGCTACCATAAATGGAGATCTCCAGGGGTCGCAATCCAACTCCATTCCTAAGGGGGTGGGGCTGTGTAGTATGGGGCCGCACATGCGCAGGGTTGCGCTCTCAGATTTGCGCATCTGTTCTTTTGGTACCCTGTAAGTGCAGCTCTGCTTGAGGGGACACCGCCAGAGTGAAAGCATGGCACTTTGAAGATCTCAGTTGCCCAAGCCCGACCATTTGACCCTTTGGTTTAGGAGAGCCATACACAAAGCAAACTAAAAGCAACCGGCTTTCCGCGCCAAATATGTTGTTGTTTGTCAGGGGTTGACTCGACATTTTACCCCAAAAGCAAATTGGGCATTGGGAGTCTTCATCCCAAACTTGGCCACGAGGTCAAAAGGTCGGCTTTGGACAAGCGAGCGTCCGTTCTCGGATCTCCTGCTGAAAGTATGAAACTTTTAGTGTGGAAACAACCAGTAAACTCTAACCTGCAGCGTCAAGCGGTCACTTATTTTTGTTCCAACTCGGCGCAAACGGCCCATATTTGTTCAGTCGGCCAGAAACAGTGTGACAAACCTCATCGAGCAAAATAAGTGTTCAAACGAAGGTAAACTCAAAACGCCTCAAAACCTAAGGAACTGGATGCCTGGGCTTGCCACCAAGGAGTTGATTGCCACAAAAGACTGATAGGGGACCAAAATAGACCGACCCAACAGCGATAGAACTTGTTGCCCGCTGCTCAGGTAAGTCATCATGAAAGCTTATTACTGAAGTCTACTGAAAACTATGTACAAAATCAGAATGAATTGGATTACAAGGCGGCCGCACCAACTTTTGGTTGGGACCGTCCCCTACTAACCGCAATCTGCCTGGATTTTGACTGTTGCCGGATTGCACTCCACACAGATTGACCTCGCAGCCAACAAAAACTGGGTGGCGAATGAACCGATTCACGCCGACGCTTCCGCGCACGCTCGCTCGTTGGTGCGATGCTCCAAGGGAGGTATCCAACACGCAGTCACCTCCGGCGCTTTTTTGGACCACGTGCACCAGGGGCAACACTTCCCTCCACTTCGGATATGTTTCTGTTTTTTGTTTCTGAGGGATGAAGGGCAACCCAAATTGGTGTTTTTGTTTTTGTTTTTGAGAAAACATGCTGCAGACACCCAATTCGATTTATGGGTCCCGTTTTTTTTCTTTTTCTGGAGAACACAAGTGAGAAATCTCATGCCAGGCACCCGCCGGGTGGTTTTTATCGCAGTCCTGGGGTTTCATCCAACTTCCTCGGCAGTTTGTTCACCGAAAGATCGAAACAAAACAACAACAACAACAACAACTACCTGGAGTCTCCTTAAAGGAGTGGGCAGCCCACTCCCTGAGCTGCTGGAGTTTAAGCTTTTTGGGAAACACATTCTACCTGGAGTCTCCTTCTGACCCTTTAAAAATGGTTGGTCATTACCCAAAATTAAGGGGTTATGACCCTTTTTTCTAGGGGTCATGCAGACTCTAGGTGGAATTGAAGGGACCTGGGCCAGCCAACTGAATTACTCCAAAACGTCAGCAATCGATTCTGCCTCCGGGTTGGGCAAACTCGTTGCTGTACCATATGCCAGGTGTCATTTTTGGGGGGGCGAATTGGCATTCCTGGTTTGTCCGATTAGCATACCGCTTGTGAGAACGTTTCTGCCGCACGTGAGCCCCATGACTTGAATTCATGACTGTTGATAGGTAATGGCGTACCGACATAATACTGGCTCAAGAAAAACAAGCTGCTGCCCGTGCTGACTTTTAGGTAGATCCCACCTTTCAACAGGTTATCAGCCGTATCGCTGGTACCTTGTACAGTCAGCTCTCACCCGCGCCGCAATGGCGTCAAGCGGCGACGGATGCCACCCTGCCATAGCAAGGATGAACGAAGCAGTGGCCAACGAATTGATAAAGGGTGGGCATCCGGAAGGGAAACCGCCATGCAATCCGTCACAGCGCTCCCGAAGCAGTTTTCCTGAATCCGACCAAGGTGATGCGCTTGTGCCCATCACATCGGTCGTTCTTCCGGAGGATTCGATGGGAAGCGGAGGGGAACCTCTCGCCGGACATCAACCTGGGCAAGAGATGCACGCGCACATGACCAAGAATGAGACTCACCTTCATCAACATCATGTGAGCGCCCCGAATATATATCAACACAGCCAGACGGTGAATGTGGTCAACACAGGTCCGAGCACGGAGGAAGTGGCTGCCTATGCTTCGGCACGCCACGACGCCATCATCAATCAGCTCCAAGCCGGCCATGTTGAGGAAAAAGGCCGACTCTATCAGGACGCGGTGAACCACATCAAAGTATGCCAACAAGAGGCAATGGCGAAAGAAAGAGAGTTTAATGAGGCAAGACAGCAGTGGGTTGCTCAACGCTCAGAAGCTGAACAGAAGTATGAACGGCTCAAATTGATTTGGGAGGTCACCCACAACAAGCAGAAGGAGGATGCGGACAGGAACGCTGCTGAAATGAGGGAGATTATCATGAAGCAGTCGAGGGACATTGAGGCACTACGTCATGAACTGAAATCTCGCAGTGAGCAGAGTAGTTCTTCTAATGTTCCGATTTTCGGTCTGAGGCCAAAGGCCTCTCCTGTACAGACATTTCCTCCCCCTGGCCTGGATCTTAGTTCTAAGGTACGTGTCAGGTCAGCTTCCACCGAACTCCGCCGTGACGGGCCAGGTGCCGCCGATGATCTTGACGGGGATGCCGGGGATTACGAACCGACATCTCCGGCACAGGACCTTAACGATGGTGGCGGATGTCCATCAGGCGCAGGGAATGGCCAAAGCGGAGGCGGTGGGGAACCACCTGCCGGCAATCCCGATGATGACGATGATCCTGACGACGACGATGACGATGGGAATGACGATGGGAAGAAGAGCAAGAAGGACAAGAAGAAGAAGAAGAAGAAGGACAAAAAGAAGAAGAGCAAAAAGGACAAGAAGAAGAAGAAGAAGAACCACAAGAAGCGAAAGAGTGGGTCTCCTTCCGACTCTCCAAGCTCTTCATCATCCAGCTCCTCAACATCATCATCCTCATCATCATCATCGGAGAAGGCACGAGTGATCCGCAAGAAGCTCAACAAGATTTTGGGTAAGCAGGCGAGCGCAGTGGACGCAGACCATGACAAGCCCAAGGTCAAGGAGGCGGAGAGGATTGTTGTTCCATCCTTCCCACTTCCTGAGAGTTACAGGAATTGGCGCATCAAGGTGCGGGAAGCCGTATGTGCGGCATCCGACCGCCCCGATGACGCTTTCACGTGGATCAGCAGAGTGTGGGAGCCCGCCGTCACAATCGAGGAGCTCAAAGATCCCGGTGCCTTCCTCACATTGGACGCCAAGTTGCTGTCCGCCCTCACCAACATCATTCAGGGTGACCTGGCGAGACAAGTCGACACCTTCAAGGAGATAGAGGCGCAGAAGAGGAATCCAGTTCGTGGGAGACAAGTGCTTCTTATGGTGCATGAGCACCTGAGCACGAACATCAAGCACGGAGCCACCTATGCCATGGAGGATCTCCTCAACGTGAGGCTCGTGAACGATAACCTCACTTCCTTCATGCGTAGCTGGGAGGGTGTTCTTGCAGGAATGAATGCCAAGACGCCGGATGACTCCATGCTTGAGGCTCTGTTCTACAACCAGCTGAAAAAGAGCAAGCAAATGCAACACCATTTGAATGTCTATTTGAGCGCCTCGGAAGAGTCCGCCGATCACTCATACACCTACTTGATTGAATCTGTGAGGCAATACCTGTCTCGAGCAAGGCTCGAGCGCAACCGAGAACGGGTTGCTAGGCAGAACGGGGGTAGGCCAGCCGCACCCGCTGCTGAGAGCCAACGTGTGCCTAAGGGGTTTTGCATTGCATTTGTCAAGTATGGGTCGTGTCGGCGGGACAATTGCACGTACAAGCATGAACAGCCATCGGGCGATGCAAGGGGTAGGACCCCATCAAGAGACGCTAAGCCTAAGAAGGGTAAGGGTAAAGGCCGAACGAATAGCCCAAAGGGAAAGAAAGAGTGCCGATTCTACCCTAAGGGGAGATGTGACCGTGGTGAAAACTGCCCATTTGCTCACATCGATCCGAAGCCGGCCGTTCCAGGGTCAAGGGAGCCTTCCACAGACAAGCAAAAGAAGCAGGGAAAGGACCGGAAGCATCGCAAGTCGAGCAGGGATCGTTCCAAGTCGACCTCTCGATCCACTTCCCGTGACTCCAAGGGAGAGAAGAAGAAGGGTCACAAGGGAAAGTCTTCCGGAAAGCCTTCCCCTGCTGCTGTTTGTGTGTTGGGATGCTTGTTGTCTTCCATGATGAACGCCCCTATCGCTGAGGGGAACCTCATGTCGGACTGGAAGCATGGGCCTGCCCTCCCGAGTGTGCGTTTCAGCTCGAAGGTTGAAATGAATAGGATACCAGCACATGGTGAGCAGTTTAAGATCGCGGACAAACCGCGCGTGTATTCAAAGGTCTACCCAATCGACCATCAGTTTTTCCATGACGAAGTCAGCATAGATGATGCGAGACTCGAAGCAACCATGCTCGCCTTCATTGTGAGGCGTGAATTGGAAGGCCATCCGACTAGATGCAAATACGAATGTGACAGCGAGATCGGATGTTGGCAATGTGCCCCGAGAGACATGGGCGCAAAGCCCGCACTGGCGAGCAAGAGATTTTCTCCGAACTGTTCATGGATTATTGACACTGGCAGTGGGACCGACCTTTTCACTCGCGCGAATTGCCCCGAATATGCAATTTATAATTCAAATGATCCCGTGATGTTGATGACTGCCAATGGACCAAGTGATTCGTCAAAGCAGGCCAACATGGCCGCAGGTGACCTTGGGAACACGGATCCATACTTGTTGCCACAAACACCCTCTGTTCTCTCCGTAGGTTTGAAGTGCATGAATCAGGGTTATGACTTCATCTGGCATGCAAAAGAGAAGCCATTCTTTGTCAAGCCTGATGGGACGAGAATTTATCTCAAAGTTCGAGATTATGTCCCGTACTACGACGTGTGGGATGGCGACTCAGCAATGGCGTGTCCCGCCAAAGGCACACCGCCAAGCCGACCGGAAGGTCAGGTCGCCAGAAGCAATGCACCTAGTGAATCATCACACTCCTCCTCCGTGCAAACCGAAGACGCCGCGGAAGAAGAGTATACGCCTAGCATTGCCCCTCTAGAAGATCCTGAGGTGCATGCTAGAGTTGTCGCCGAGCTTCTGGCGAATGACCCCGTTGAAGTCGTTCCAGATGAACCTGCTGAGCCGATGGAGAGTAAAGATTTGGCAGGGGAAGATGTTGTTGGCAACCCTGATAAGAAAAGTCCTAGGTCACTTGCAGAAAGCGCCCTTAGGCAGGAAGCAGCATCACGAAAGCACCTGATGACACACCAGCCAAAGAATCCATTCTGCGAAGTGTGCAAATGCGCGAAGATGACCAAGTCTCCCTCTCGCTCGCGGGGGGGATCCAGACAGGTTGATGCTCGAAAATTTGCTGAGCACATCACAGCCGATTTCATAATCACTGCGGATGAACAGGAGCTGGGCATAGACGATGAATACTCTGCCCTTGTCATAAGTGACGTTGCCACCGGTTTCAAATATGCATACCCTTTTGCTAAAAGAAACACGGAAGCAACTGTGAAGGCGTTTCAGCACTTCACTTCCTCGTCGGACGAGGTTGGCACGTTTTATAGTGATAATGCCCCTGAGTTAATTGCTGCAGCTGAACAGATGGGCTGGAGACATGTCCTCAGTCAAGAGTACATTCACAAAACCAATGCGGTGGCTGAACGGAGCATCAGAACCGTGCTCGAGGGAACTCGAGTCGCACTTGCACAGGCCGGGTTGAATCATTCATACTGGCCGCACGCCGCAAGGCACTGGTGTTTATCTCAAAATGTGTGTGAACCACCTTCTGGTTCCAGAACACCGTGGAATCTTAGGTTCGAAGAAGAGTTCAAAGGTCAGTTCTTGCCGTTCGGAT